TATCTAAAATAGGTTTATAATATTTATCATGACGTCCACATCATGAAATTTATCATGACGTCACACACTACATACATACCAAAACAGCGAGATCGTATATACGCATACAGAATAGAATGCTCCTCGCTTCGCTCGCAGCAATTATACCAAACACAAAAAACTTACATCCCACTTCGGATCATTTGTGTAGCACATTCCTTGTGGACCTTGTGCGAGCAAGGTAAAATTTGGCAACCTGTGAATGCGTCCTGAAAGAAACAAACATGCACGAAGTTATGAACAAAATTTATCCGCCTCTGAAATTTCTTTCGTTTTATTTTGACTGTCACGGCAACATTGCTTTAAACTATTGGGGATATCATTCATCTCCAATCGTTCAAAAGGCTTACAGCTACCCAAGTGACCAGGGGAATACATGGAACGATAACTTGCCGCTATATTTTATAGTAAATGAAAAGAAGGCGATTTTTGAACGTTTACCTTGGAACAGCGTTCGAGAACTAATACGGTGTAGGCTTATGTAAACTTTATGTAAACTTTGTTGGATGTGTTTATGGCAAATGCCGTAAAATGAATTTAACTTAACCGACAGATACCTGTGTTAGCTTCGTGAAATGTGTGGATCAGAACCAGCATTCCAACCTGACACCCTAGCTAGGAACAGAAGCAACTAAAAATTTCTGGTTGCCTATATCTCATGTCACCATCGATTTTAACAAAAGGAACATATACAATATATATATATATATACTTGCGTTTGCAAACAACTGTTTTTCAATCGCGAACAACCTAACCATCACGCGAGGAAAGCAATTTACCCACGCGAGATGTACACGAAACGAAAAAAACTTCAAATCGGCGCCTTCCAATCATTGAACATTATCAACGGAGTTATCGTTTCAGTTATTTTGCAGTTTACAGGTCGTAGTACCTCAAGGCAAATACAGCATTCATCGTGGGCCGAGCCAGCGCGACATTTATGGTTATTCTTCAGTTGCACATCCAGACAAACACCACACACATCACAGTGAAATGATCGATCTCCGTGGATTCTATAAATCAGAAATTTTTTTAAAAATGTTAATAAGTTAAGAATAAATGTTATGAATCGCGCGAAGCCTTCGCATATCGACACTTCATTCAACCTTGGTTTATTAATGCTATTTTTACCTTCAAAATACCTTTTTAGTTATTTTTACTATCTCTTACCTGCAAATCCCACATTTTTCACAATGATATGGGTTATCATCAGTTCCTGTGAGATGCTTGCATCTACCACAGAAGTATTCCGCAAATTTAACACCACAGCCGTTACAGAACTGTGAATTTTCGTTGAACTGCAGAACATGATGAATGTTAGGGCCACTGAGTTATATTATAATTCCTGAAGGACTTGCTCATCCCATTTCAGTAACTATGTCCGCCATCTTTTTTGGTACGCTTTTTGGTGGCGAGCAAGTCCTCCAGGAATTATTATACAGCTCAGTGGTTAGGGCCACTGATTAGGGCCCGATAAATTGTTGCCTGCATGACAGGTGTTGCCATGCAGGCTAGACAATTGCATTTAAAAGTGAGGTGCAGTCCCGTAAAGTGAAATTTCCTAAAATATCAATGCGAAATTTGAGCAATTTTGAAACAAGTAGACTGCCCATGCATTGTTATGAGCAGAACCGATGCGCAGAAGTGACCTTAAATCCCCTTTAAAGTTTTTTGGTGTAAATGAACAATTATCGTGAAGCGTATAGTCTGCTGTAAAGGCCATGTTACACGGTGCAATATTTCTTGCAACTTGCAATGCAATTCTTTTTTTGAGAGATGTAAATTTGGCAAGTAGCGACCTTTTGTCTTTATTACGTTCCATGGCGCTTCTTGCACTTACATTTTAAAGACTCTTCACTGATTTACATCTCTTTAAAGTAGAATTGCATGGCAAATTGCACGGAAAATTGCACCGTGTAACATGGCCTTAAATAGCTACTAACGAATGGACGAAAAGGAACGTTGGGTGGTAATCATTCTCTTGCGCAGTCCCGTTATTATTGCAAAAATGATAAAGATATGTACAGACACACACCGGTTGCTCTTTTTGGCAAAGCATACACTTTATTAATGTGATATCACGAGATTTCAACTTCTTTCGACCACACTCGCTTCTGTTGTTGTGGCAACGATGACATGGCCAAAACGTTTCGCAGCATTCGAATTTCACATAACATCGCCTTTTGTAATGATCACACAACCAAGGGCCTGCGTCGTCGATACTGTGATGGTTCTCTAGGCGATGCTGTTCTGGATCAGGTGCACGTTTCGGCTTAGAGAATTTCTTGCTGTTACTGCCCGTATCTCTGCTGTCTAAAATTATATAACACACTTGTTTACTCATTCCTCGTTGAAGGATGTTTGTTGGTGCAGCTCGCGAAGAGGTAATCGTGGTAAAATAAGGTATTAGTTGCTTAAAATTGCTACTGTATTGATATCAAAATTTGTACAAATTATACAATTCAACTATTGAGTTGCTTGCAGTATTAACAGAATAATTATATAATAGTTTTTTAGAACTGCCTTTATACAACTCTGCTGCTTTTTTAACTCTTTCAAGGACGCTTGGGGGAGGAATGATAAAAATGAATCAACTGCATGAATCAGTTGTTCTATACCCCTTTCGATTTATTTTTGCATAAAAATAGCAGTAAAACGTGGTGATACTTAGCATTCATCGAAAACCTGTCAATAGGACGTAGCAGAAAAGCAGTTATGAGCTGCTTTAACATTTACACTGTCCGTCTTAATTGCCCTCCAACGATCGATCTAGCGTTATATTAATCATATCATTTAGGAATTTTCCTTTCTATATGTGGAAGTTGTATACTCTAACTCTTTATTTATCTCGCCCCTGAATTGATACATGAAGTAATTGGCTATATATTGGCTAACTATACCATACAACTACAAGTATGAACAAGTAATACAACCTAAATGTTTTACGTGGCAGTTAATCATATGCATTAACTAGTCTATGCAAACTGACGTGTCCCCTACCACTTTCCAACATGGATTTACGCCCTTAATCTCCAATAAAATCACTCTTAGCTCAAAAGGCTTTTCATGTATGGTAGTGTTAATGAAATAACATGATGGACAATGTTCTTTGCAATGAACAAGACAATGGCAAGCCAAACCTCTGCCACACAACAAAAGCATTCGTATTTTCAAACTTATACACTGGTACTTTCCGAGTTTCTTTATTGTCTCTCATTAATTTCTATAGGCATCATGATTCTATTTATATAATTACTGAATAAATTAGTATGCACTATCAAATCTACAATTCACCAATTTGAGCAATAAAACAAAGGAAAATAGCGAAGTAAAAAAAATGTAAATACAACATAACCAAAATTAAAAAATGACGACACATGATAATTTAACAATTTTTTGCTTTTACCAGAGGTGCATCTTGGTGGTCTTATCAGCTGCTAAATATCAGCTGCTAAAGCAAACACGCCGATTTTTATCCCCTTTTTTATTTTGTTTTTCCTTATAACCTTACAGTCATGTAAAATCTCCAACCAAAAAGACGCAATGCTATATGTGCTTCAAAAGTAAAGAAATCTAATTAATTAGATAGCTATGTATAATTCATAGTACCAGAGGCAAAAGAAGAAAGATGATTCACAACATGAAATCTGCTTCAAAGGCAATTGGATGACTTAACTAGGATATAATACATTACAATCCATCATCGCTTTCGCGCACAGGGTTTCGAAGTCTACAATTTTGAACGACATTCATTTCAAAATATCAATTCATTTTAAAGATTTGACCTCCAAATAAGCTCATTCAATTAAAAAGCAAAATTAGAAATGATAGACAATGCCATACTAAAGTACGTTGATCTTGGCTTGGAACCTATCGAGGATCCTTCAGATTTCCTTCCTTCGTCCACTACCGAGCAATGGATCATAGTTAATCTATTTTATCCTACCTATCTTAGCGCGATGTAAAAGACCGTATTTCTTCAGGAATATTTTTATTTTTGCAAGAATCTCACCTGCGCTATTGTAAGCGCTGTCAGCGACTACTGGCCTCCTTGTCCCCCCACCTATCGTGGTCTGCACCGATCGATCTTCTGGCACTTTTGCTACCTTCATTCCTGTTCGAATTTCTTCCACGGATATTTTTGGACTTTTACTCGTGGTACGTTGTTGGAGGGGAACAGAACCAGACGCTTGAAGTCTGAGATTCCCGTTACCACGAATGCTTCGGTTTCTGACGCTTATAGTAGATTGGGTCTTGCGTAGGAGGCTGAAATCTCCGGCGATGAAATTCTCGATGATGTGAACAAGGTCATAGCGGGTAATCGTACCGAAGAAATCTCTTAGTACATGCAAGTTTGACGAGCTGATGATCTTCTTTTCATCCAAATGAACCAAAATTTGAAATGCATTTTCGGATTCTTGAACGGAGTAATTACTTGTAGCCCAATCCTGAAGCATTTCTTTATCGTGCTGCAATAGCATGTCCGAAATTCGTAGCAACAATAGTTTGTATGTATTATACATGTGCAGTTCGACGGAGTTTGTTGGTACATTCGTCAAGGTTTGCTCAGCCATGGCACATGATTCCTCCATAATTATTTGACGTTCTGGATTGGGAATAGTCACGTGAATGTTGCTTTCTTCACTACCCGATGGTTGTGAATCTTCACTGGTGGATGGGCCAGGGTTTAGCTTAAGTAGTTTTCGAAATTTAGCATCTTTCTTTTTCTTCTCATTTTCGGCTTTGACACCATAATATTCAGTGGCTATTTCATTTAAGGCTTCCTCTGTCTTTCTTAAGCTTTCCTCTAGTGAACCGATTCTTGCCAAATGCTCTGCGATATCGCTTTCGTATTTAGAAACTTTTTCTTGATACGTGGTTTCCTGTTGTTCAAGCATTGCTTCCAACTCACTTACTCTTTGTTCCAGGCTGCAGGCGGTTTGCCCCAAACTATTTAATTTCGATGACGGATTTCTGTTACTTTTTGCCTCTTCGTTTCGGGGGGTTGAACAGCCTTCATGCACACCGTTTACCAAGTAGAATAGCTTTTGGTAAAAAGTATCTCCTGTATCATCATCTAAATCTTTTTTGCCAACAGTTTTCTCTGCAGCATCTAACTCTTCTTGACATCTTGAAGTAACAAATGCGATAAATTCCTCCAACATCTTCGTATCATCTTCAGTATCGTGTAACTCAGTGGATTTGGGATTTGTGGGAAATATTTTTTCTTTTGTCTTCATGGTAAAACTCTTTAATTCCTTGCATTTTTCCCTGCACTGAGAAGTTTCGGGAGCGGCCAAATAGTCTAAATAACAAATAACAATATATATTTTATACAACACCAACTTCACAAATCTTCTATGCTTAAATTCACGATGGATTGTCAAAGTGAATTCGATAAATGCATGTAACTATAATACGAAAGATTAGAAATGTGTATTTTACATAATGATTATCTTAGAAGCGATAGCTATTGGCAATGTTTACATTATAACCAAGGAGCAGCGTGGCAGCGTCTTCAAACAACCTAGCATCAAATGTGGTATAACAACTGCCTAAATAGACAAAACAATTCTCGACGTTTCGACCTGAGGGCCTTCGTCAGGAGACGCAACGCAAAAATTCATTTGCACAAGCTCGCTGTGATTGCACTTGCATCTAATTAAAATCAACACAGGAGAATTGGATGAAGACGTACACTCGGTGAGCTTGCCAATGGTGTATTGTGTGCATTGCGCGGAAAGACCTTGGGTACGAGGATGAGTTGCCCAAAGGTAGCGGTTAACCGAGTTATCGTAGCACGACGAAAGGTTTAGAGTAGCCTTGGCCTCATTTGATCAAAGCTTTCTATATAAATGCGGCTACTATGAAGAAAACTTTCTTCGTTTAAGAACTTTATATTTGGTCAATCCGTTTCATTCTAACCTGAGTGTAGACAGACAAGAAACCCTAGAAAATTTTCGATCCATCTTTGGACAGCGTATTTGTTCGTCGGCAAGGCCACTCGGACATCATCTCCGTGGTCTTCGTTATCTTCGATTCCATTATCAGATATCATCATCGAATAATGTTCTGTTGAAAAAAGTAGCACGATGTTCAGTAAGCTGTAATGCTTGCGATACAAAATTCATATTTCTATATGCATGGGTTTATATGGAATGTCATGCAGGGGTGATATTTACAAAATAAACTGTATAAAATGACGCACATACAGATAAAATTTATAAAATGTACGAAAAATATTTTTGTTGATTATAAGTGCGATAGTCAAAACAAGGGATGCAATTATCAAAATATTATTCTGTGCTAAAGTTTTTGGTCACCCCTTGAAAATCACACATTTGTTGTTTTAACCTGTCAGAAGTTTCGCGTGTGGGATATATAGACAAACTATATACATACTGTAGTCTTCACATGCATGTACACATTTTGTATAATAACTTTTTAAAAGTAATTTCTGTACCTAACAAAGTCAAGAAGCTTCTGATATAGTTCACTGGGATCAGTTTATCTAATGCTCGAGACCCCTATATACCATAGTTCATCATGCTCTAAAGCCTTGTTTCCATGCATATGACGCCGACCTGTCGCCGACTCACTGTCTGTAATCATCTAAGGAGAAAATGATTTCAGAAAGAGAAAAGATTTCACTCATCAATAATCACTGACAATAATACTTTGCCGACGTCGGCGTCATATGTACGCGACTACAAATACTTAATTGACTTTGAACTGCATAATATATACAGGGTGTCCCCCCCAAAAAACCCAAAACTATTGAAATCGCCTATTGTAAAAATTTGAATGACTAGTTCGCGAATTTTTGCTCGTGGGGAATAACGCAACTTATAAAATGCTAAATAGGACCACAAAGATATGAAATTTGCTTGAGAAGAAGGACATGTCGAAGATCATGGTGCTTGAGTTGTAAATTTAATTCTTGTGGTCCATATTTGTAGTGTCGTATATAAATGTAAATATTGTTATACTAAAAATCATTTGTGGATATAAACAAATTTTACTGTCCTTATGCATAAAAATGCTTATGTCAGACCTTTATACACTTGTGGGTTCCAACACTCAACAGGGTGCTTAGGCATTCACACTCCAGCTATTACATTGTTATGGGTGATTTTGCTATTATTTTGTTATGGTTTTTTGGGACATCATGTCTACGCTGCGACACCTACGCAATACCGTGCCAGTGGGTTTAGTGCGTGTATTATTGTGTATAGCTATGTGCCGGTATATACATTTGTCTTTTTCGCATCTTTTCTGTGCTAAAATTTCAATCACAAAGTTAATTAGATTGGCAATGTAAGCCCGGTTAATAATACTACACACAATTTTTGGTACTGTACGGGAAAAATTAGTACGAATGAAAATTTTTAGCTGTTTTGTAACTGCATGCCCAATAGCTATAGGCAATTCTCATCCGTGCAAATTCCATCCCGATGCCAAACCTAAAATCGTGTGTAGTGTTAAAGGGACTAAAGTCTATACGAAAATGCTGTTATTAAATGGAATATTTCCCACTCCAAATTTCCCTAAATGTAAAATTCATTTGTGAATTCATAAGAAGTCAAAGTTCAAATATTCATGTAATTACATGGAATTTACTAGCATTTAGATGGAATTTAATAAAGTCTAAACAAATCGAATTAGGTACAAAAATATCATGGCGTAGGTATAGTTTAAACAGCTATAAACATTTGCATGAACGATAAATATTACACTTCGGCATTCAAGCGATATTTTTTCTATCAAGATTGCAGACATAAAATATGTCCACGCATATCTCTATATAAAAAATCATATATGCATGCGTAATTAAAAACTTGTCCTCGCGTTCAAATTTTCGATGCGTATTGGGGGAAAACCCTAGTAATTACGTAATCATTCAAATATGTATAGCTATATAAGCTATATGTGGAAGTAAGTAAGGTTGGTGAAATAAAATCGCGTTTCCTGCATCATCCAGCGATGTATGTCCCTATGTATGTGTACATGCATATCATTTATATTTAGACTTTAGTGTTGCTTGTATGCGGAATTTCAAACCATTACATACATGCACCACATCTCAGACCATATTAACTGATTAATAACATGCAGGCAGACCGCCGTTGTCATATTGATCATATATTCAATATATATACACCATAATAGTTATATCCTCGATAATAATGTCACTGCAGTCTCAATGACATTAAGAGTTTTCTTGCCTAAATAAAAAGACCTAACTTTATATTTGTTCGTTTCTGCTAGTGCTGCATGCATGTAAAATTCTGCGTTTTCGGTTTTCCGCGCGCACGGATTTTATTTACGTTAGCATGCAACGACATTGTTGTTACTTTTATGCTTAAACTTTCGTATTGCGCTGACTCTTTGCACGCGAGATTGAGCTCACAGGGAACTTTTGCCGACTACGATATACCCTGGATATCTCCGGTATATTCTGCACAGAATCTCTCTTTCCTTGACTTTGGTCATTTTATGCAAGTATTTGTGTCTCATCCTCTATAATGTTATTCAAAGTTGAAACGAAAACGGCTCAGTGTCGGTGGGCAATAGAATTTTGTTGATGTAAACTAGATACCCATCTTACCTGCATATCTAAGCAGCTTGCACGCTACGGTCGCGACTGATGATTTTCTTTAATGCTCTGCAGCCATTTTTCTAAATTTTAATCCCCTGGTCCTGGTTCGAAGTTCCCATATTAGCGAGTTTGAGCAAGGAAACGAAGTACGAAGACGTGTTTCGGCCGAGGTAGACTGGGAATAGTAGTCTTCGTCTTAAGTCTTCGTGCAGGGGGATATTTGAATTGAGCTGTTCTGTCAAAGTTATACGACTACGAACACGGTACTAATTTTGTAAACATGAACAGAGCTGAATACGAGATGGCTATTTTAGCCGAATGTTTTCAGAAGATGCTTTGGAAGAGGAAGATGTTATGCTTCTTTACGGTTTAAAAATCTCAAACAACATTTATATTCCATACAAGAACTATTCAAATTTGGCTTGAATATATCTTACTTTGAAAACTTCGTTCTGACTACAACGAACTTTGTCAAAATATTCGTCCTAAACCAGGACAACAGGACGAAGACGTTAAACCCTCACCGCTGACCTTAAGCGGAGTATGCACAAATGATGCGCAGACGTTAAAAAATTGTGAAGTTTGTCTTCGTCTTCGTACTTCGTTGCCTTGCTCAAACTCCCTATTGCCGGGAGCACTGCATAATTCTATAGAACTATCATACTGATTACATGGAGTGTTTTCAGCTCGGGCTGAGTTTCTGCCGGGCTAACCGAGCTAAAGGCTGAAACTTCAGCCCAGGGTTGTTATAAAATCCTAACAAAACTGCGCACGCGATTACATGACATGAATTTCAGCCCGGTTTGAGTTACCCGAGTGTTGTTGTCATGTAATCGTAAATAAACTTAAACCCGGACAGAAAAATTCGCCTTGACAATGCTTTTTCGTTTGTTTATTTCACTTTGTGTACTAAAAACCTATAAAAATCTAAGGGCCTCCACAGACTAGGGATTTAGTTGTCGACAACTATTTGTGATCGACAACTAAATGTTATCGACAACCAATATAGGCAATACGCTCAAATACTGATTTAGCAGCCGAAATAGCGCGGAGATTAATGTTGTCGACAACTAAAACAAAAGTTTTTACACACTACTAGAAAAACGCCAAAAAATGAGGCCGTCGTCGTCGATGTCGACAATTACTCAGTTTCCCTCCTCGAAAAGGGAAACTGCTTGGTTGTCGACAACTATAATAAGGGCGCTTTCCATTTAACAATATAACCGATTTTACCAGTTTGGCCGTGCAAATGGAAAGCGCCCTTAGAATTTAATTGCCGACAACTTGCGCGACAGACTACGTTTTTTAGTTGTCGATAACTTTTAGTTGTCGATCACAAATAGTTGTCGACAACAAAATTCCTAGTCTGTGGATGCCCTTAGGCTATATATAATACGGATTGTTAAAAACATAAAATAACCGTGCAGTCTTAAAAATTTGCTGATTTGTGTTTCTTTGTCTAGAATTTCATGCAAATGTGAAATGATCATGCATGCATGATCAATCATTAATTCGCCCTCATATAAATGACAACAACAAAAATTAACATACGCAGTTACGGTTGTTTTGGGATACCTTCTTCTTCCATGTGCTTTTAGATACAAACGTCGGAATCAGCGAAGTATAATCGACATCGTTCCATATATATTTATGCCCGGCATTATATCGTGTGGAGACGCCGGAGAAAAAAGTGCACGTGTGCCCCCGGAGAAATTAAAAATTTCTGGGGAATTCAACTTCGAAAAATAAACATATAGAGTTGGTTATTTAATGTAATTATGTATAAATGGTTTCAGATGAAAGGTTTTCACCGTCCGAATTCAGAATTTTTACTGATTGGAATTTTATTGTATTGTCAAAAAAAATACAAGTATATTATTTGCTTCGGAGTCTTTGCTTTTGGAGAATCTTTCAACAATGTCCTGCAGCTTATTCTGTGACAAAATATATGCAAGTGAGTATTGCGATTTGGTAGCTATTTATATGATTAAATTTTAAATTAAAAATAATACCAAAGAGGCCCACAAGCGAATGATCGACCGGGGACGGGGGGCACAACAGTTGCGTCAGGTGACCGAAAAAACGCCCACAGTAAAAAAAACATTTAGCTTATTCAGCTGAATGATGTATATATAGCTGGTACTTAAAAACATACAACACACTAATTTCTCGACTGTGGAGTTTCCAACTACATACTAAATCAACGACATATACTAAAGAACTATCGAATGTATCGCCAAGGACAATGTATGTAAAAGCCACGAATGAACAGCAAACAAATATTGTCCTGTGGTTACATACGGTATGTTAAAAGGTCAGAAACCTTAAAAGGGACCGGTCGTTCAAAAGCCGGTTAGCTTAACCCTGGGTGAAAGAAAATTTTTACATCATTTTTTTTTAAAACTTTAACTCTTGTTTACAAAGTTGAACATCTTTTTTCATAAATATTTGCTGGACCGATAGAAGTGATATTTTCTAAAGTTTTAAAACTAGCAGTGGCTCAGAAGAACATATATTAAAATACTGGACTAAACTTTATCCCAGAGTTAGCGCTGACCTCGGCTTTGAAAAACCGGCCCCTTGTATTTAATAAAGAACTAAGGCTAACGCAATAAAAAATATCACTAATTTTAGTCAGTTGCTAAAGCCCCGTTTACACAACGCGGGATATTTGGTACGGCACGGGTAAAACTGGCACCCGTACCATTTTTATTCGTGCTTGGACTACCTATTTAAGCCCCATTTACACTACACTCAATTTATCGGCACGGCACGGCTAAAATAGGTTCCCGTGCTCAATTTTTATAGTGTTCAGGCTACCAAAACAAAGGCCGGGCACGGGTACTCATTTTAGCCGTGCCGTGCCGGCGATAAATCGAGTGTATATAAGGCCGGTTTACACGACAAGCATTTTAATGTCTTTGCTTTTGTTATTTTGAATAAAATTTCTTTTTCACCAGCGACAAATAAAACATCGCCGGCTGTCTGCAAATGAGAACTATAGGCTTAATGCCAGTTGGAAACGTCGTGTTTATATTTTAATGCATTCAAGGCATAAAAAATGCAATATTATTATTGGATAGACCATAGACGAGTCCAGACTTAAGATCGCGAAATTGTTATTGCCGCATCAGTGTATGCTTGGAGTTAATCGAAGTGTCATAAATAGGCTGATGTAAAATTGTTGCACTCCTAGTCGTATAGCTAGCTGGAATTATAAATAAATTATAAAATATCGTCGTCAATATTCTGAGCTCTTTAAATGTCAATATATTTTGTGCTGGATCATGAATTTTATTGTTGCTATATATAGTCGTCACCGTTAATGACTTGATCTTGATGACGTTTCTCAAAACTTACCTTACATTTATTTCAAATTTTAAAACAGCTGGTTTCAAATTCCTCGAAATATATACACAGCTACGATGAAGAACAACAACAACACATATATTTGCAAATATATAATTTATATGCATATTATAAATATTTTATGTTTATAATATATACTGGAATGCATGCATATATAAGGTTTGAAGAGAGTATCACATGCCTGGCGTCATGACTGTCATATCAAGGTGGCTGATGTGATAGAATACTTCTATGTGTGAGCGACCAGCAATGACCGATTTGAACCGACTTTTTCTCGTCGGTAAAAATGCATTGTTCACGACAATCTGGTAACAGGGCCGCAACCAGAAGTTTAATTGGGTGGGGGGTATATTCGTCTTATGCTCGACTGATTTCGTTAGTATCCTATTTCCTACAACGGCTACGATATGTAAACATGAATCACATGCAGTTATTAGAATATACATGGTTTGGAGACTTTGGTCCAGGTTTATGCAAAAAATGGTTCCTTATCCGTCACATGTCATGTGTATTGTATTTTTGCCCAACTAACAAATAACAATGGCTTGGCTTCGCTCCTCAACCTTGACTTACCTGCACAACATGTTAATTCAGACCTCACTATTGGTTGATTTGTTCAAAATACAGTAGACAAGTGACGAATAAGGAACAATTTTTGCATAAATGTTTCCCGGCCTCTGGCCTTTGAATCCTTTAAGAAATTCGTACCAAATATTAGAATGATGTTTCTTGTAGTACATAAGCAGTGAAAACAGCCAGGGAATACTCGCTAATACATGCAGTGAGAATTTTTTATGAGAATTCAATAAAAGTTTGCACATTTCATTACTATAAAGTTCTGGCTGTATTAACTGGCTATATACTGGTTCTCATCATCTATGGCTAAAGTAATAGCTAGCTCGTCTTCGTCTCGTTGACTATATACGTAGAAATAGAGTCAAAGATATAATTGGTACAACCATATATGCGATGATGCGAATAGATAATGAAAAAAGGTATTATATAGTAATGCATGGTTGACATGCACGTGCATGCATGCATGTTGCACTCGTGTTGCACTCTATCAGTCTATCACACCCTAGAACAGTTTGGGATTTTGACATGTTATAAGACTGTGTAAATTTGCATATTACCATTGACATTGTTTATAAATTATGTATTGTCATGCACTCGTGAGTAGTGACATAAATTTCGTTAACAACTCCACAGTTCGGTCTCGAGTAACCGCTTGTTAGAGCTTTGGATGGTAAGGACGTACAATATAATTATTACTATGGGAAACATTAAGCAACCGCTAAGTTGCTAACACTTAGTGACTCTTGTTCGATCACAAATCGCATAACGATACATGCATTTATAATGATGAATGTTATATTGTCGTTACAAAACAGACGAACATTTTTAACACTGCTACTCAGTATAGCGACCGTTGTCATTGTTTTGGTCCTTATCAACTGTAATAGCACAAGATATAGGTATGGGCCAGGTAGGTATTAATTGTTTAATATATAATAAGATGTATAAAACAGAGAACTATGACTATATTTATCTTTTTGTTAAAGTGATCTTATATCTTGATATTGTGCTCCAAGCTAATCACTGTGCATGTAGGCTACATTTCGCCTTAAATGACGTACGCTAAGACTGAGCACCATGCAGCAACCTGCACCGGTGTTACATAGGATAGTGTCGTCCCCCACGTGAAAGTTGAAACAAAGGTGCGAGAAAATATTTGCTTAGTATATATATTCGCTGAGAAAATTTTTTGCGTGAAAGTTCGCCATGCATATATACTGTTCTGGACTTCAGGATGCTTGAGGAGTATATTCCATCCCCTCCACCTCCAGTGAAGGTCCTTTTGAGTGTAAATATTAATGAAAATAATGATCTGCTCTCATGCAACACTGAACCCCTCTCTCCTGAGAAAGATTTGCGCAGTAACCAAAAGTCCAAGACGATAGTATACACAATGCGTCGATAATTAGTTTATATATTAGTTTATATTTTAGGGCCAGGCCTATATATACTCACATAATCTATATATTATAAATACAGGAAAGCAGCAAAATTTTGGAGAAACAAATGGTGGAAAATGCTTACTGAATTACTTCCAAGATGTTCTCCTCCTCATCGTCTACCACTATCCATTTTACTCTACAATTCCCTTGGTGAAATCAAATTACGAAGGAGCGTTTCCACACATAATCGTTTGCGGCGCAGAAGACGATAAATCGGGTCGACATGAAATCATGGTGGTCGACATCAATCCCCGCGGTTACCTTACTCACGAATGCGTAGGTAAGGCTATTCGCATACACCCAGCCTTTCGTGGCTACCTGATGGTTAATGATGACATGCTTGTTAACTGGTGGAACTTTGCAAAATTGAATAAAGATAAGATTTGGCTTGGCTCTCGTGTGGAATATAAAAATAGTTATACTGTCGGCCAAAAGTCAATCCCGGATGACTGGTTTTGGAAGCTACCCGAAAATGGCGCTAAAAGCTGTGAAAAGGCCTACAAAGATTTACTAGATTTGCGAAAAGACGTTACATTTGGAATGGAGGTATCAAAAATGCTAAAGATTAATTTCCACAACGGAAGAAACAAAACTTTGTGCTTCAGGACGTGGTCTGACTTTGTGTACATTCCTGGAAAATTAAGTTCCCAATTTGAACTACTTTGCAGTATATTTTATAAACACAAGGTTTTTCTGGAAATTGCATTTCCGACGATATTTAGTTTTCTCGCCCCCTGGGATGAACTGGAAAACGTATACGGCGTGTATTTACCTGACATTTATGGTTTTGACGATTTCACGTTACCTAAAAAGGTCTGGCCGCAATACTCAGAAAACATTCCTTTCCTTCATCCAATAAAAATATTTGGTCAACCCGGGCAATTGAATCGAAGAGAAATAGAAAGACGAGTGATACCATATGGAAGAAGATTTCTGAACTGTACAAGCCGCGCAGTTCGTTAGTTTTCATATACACAATTTATTTGCTACGCCTGCACAGACAAAGCATAAATTATTTCGCTTTTGAAGACCGTCACAGCTTCGTATAGTTCGTACATGAGCAGATTTTCGAAGGCAGTTCTCTTTGCCGCTTCTCGAGAAATACATGCATGCGAACATAAAAAATTGCGTTTATAGGAATTATTGGCATATACCAATAAAGAATTTATTGCTTCCTGCACTTATTCATAAGACAGCCCTTAATTAGACAAAAAAACTAAATTTAAAATGTAATTCGCTTTGACGTTCTGTTTAAGGTATTTTACGATCATGCTGGAAACTGAATCATGAGAGTAAAACATATTCTTTTAGACTGCATTTGATAAACGTTTACAGGGAAGCCACCCGCGGTTAAAAAGCGATGTATTAGGCCACCACTTCGTGCACAAAGCAATACGACGAATATAAATACTTCAAATTCAAGAAAAAGGGCGAATTTATAAAGTAAAAATACTTTAGTTTGACGCGCGGGTAATTTCCCTGGAATTCTGATGACATATAGGTAACGCGTGGAAGAGCGGAGATGAGGTCAGTATAGATAAAGAGCATGCAGAATGTGCTGCCAATTCATTCTGCTCCTCGCTTCGACAAGGTCATTACAGATTGAATTTGAATTTTTTGACACTTCTGTGAACAGGTAATTATCTCTATATTTATTCTTATTAGAAATAATTTAGAATGTCTTTTGGCTTTCCCAATATTCTAATTTTGGGTCATTCTTTTGTCCGTCGCTTACGGGATGATTTAAAGGCTAATTTCGATTTCCGCGCATCCCAAAATTTCCATATTCCCGAATCGGACGGGGTTATGTCACTATGCTGGGTACAGGTGGCCGGACAGTTGAAAAAGTGATTCAATTCGATCTTTCTTCTGTCCGATCTGCCAAACCTGACATTATAATTCTCGAGTTGGGCACAAATGATCTGACTACACATGCCCCTGAGGTAGTAGGATCGAGGCTTGAAGAGCTCGCTCGCCAACTTCGCGACGAATTTCACGTTCGCGTCATTGGGGTGTGCCAGGTGATTGACCGCAACATCGCCAAAACGCGGGAATCTAATAGTGTTTTTAACACCAAGGCCGCTCTTTTGCGCCAGTATTTGTCCGTGGTTCTTGCAGAGGAAGAGGGTATTTTTCTTTGGGAACATCGGGAATTTATCAATCCCGCCCGTGTTCTGTTATCCACGGACGGCGTTCATTGTAACACACAAGGGCAATATTGTTTGTATAGGAGCTATCGCGGGGCTATTTTGAAAGCTCTGGCACTGTTGTAGTTTATTTATCGTGTGTATATTATGCATATATTATATTTTATATTGTGTATATGTTTTTCTGTATATCTCTTACTACGCATACTCCGCATTTTTTATTTGTCGTTTATCATACGTTTGACTTATACCCAATATGGGCTAGAGCAACGTGACTGTTTACAGATGCCCACGTTGAGATTTCAACATTGGGTTTTTTGCTGCGCAGGACGAGTTCATGCTTTTAATTGTTATATATGCGTTGTGTGGTTTGTGATGTTTGTCGTGCTGATGTAGTTTTATGCATATATCGCTCGTTCGTTCTGTGTAGGAAAAAATGCATGTCTAAGTGGGTAGGGCGTTTTACGTTTCCGGATGCCCACAGTTGAAGTCAATATATTGTGGGATGGTGCGGCATGTTGTTTTCAGATTGCCCGATAATTTTCCGTATTTGCCATTTGCAGCATCACGGGATAATCAAATACGGCTACCCTCATTGTATGCCATGATTATTTCGCTGCCTTTTCCATTCTTCCTGTCTTTTTTAATATTTCTCAATTGTATTGTGCGTGGCGTGTCTCTGGTATATAGTATTTTACGTATCACCACAGACATTCGTTTCGCTCTTGCTCTGCTCTTTGTTTATTCCTTAGTTCTTGCTATACGGAATTATGCCTGCTACCACTAACAGAGCGAGTAAACGAGTGCAGAGGCAAGCGCAACCAGCCCGACCCGGCCGACCGCGACGATCGTCCCGCTCCGGTCCACTCACGGCTCCAAGTACATCGGTGAATACCTTGCCGCAGCCATTGTCCGCGCCAACTACTGCACCAACAGACAACACCACTGCGGGGTCTACCAACCATTTTACCCTCTCAGAAGCTACTCTAGCCCGAATAATTTCGGAAACAATGCAGGCGGTCATGGCCAACCTCCAGTCACACACCATCCCATCTACACCGCCCGAGTTGTAGACGGAGACGCGTGAATTGCTAGTAGTTGCTTCGGGTGTGTTGAGTACTGCAGACGCCACGATGCAGGGGCCGGTGGCATTTGCTTTACTCAATATATCAGGTTTCGAAGTTCAAACGGCTAGCTCCGGTGCGAGCTTAATGTAAGGGTATAATAGTATATTCGGTAGGGCGTTTAAATTAGCCCCACCTTTTCTGTGCAAATTGTTTAGTAATTGAATTTATTGTTTGTTGATTAATAATTAATTTGTTGTTAAGTAAAAATTAATAAATCGGCATGTGCGTTAAACAATTACGCACATTGCCAAAATTATTCCAACTCTGTGTCTGAGTTGTTTTTGTACGAGATCTAGAACACAGAAAACAGAGCTCGTCATGACAAGGTATCTTTTACACCAAGATAGGGCACCATGTGACAGAGAAAAAAGCCCCACAGAAAGAAATATCAATGAGTACAGGGCAACGAAAGAATTCTGACCTAAACCTGTTTGAATATCTCTGGGAATAAATGAGGAAGAGGTCAGATAGAAGACCATCTCGACATCTGGAAGAATTAAAGAGACCATTTTCGCATCACGTGATGCTGTTGATCCAGATGTAACAAACAAGATTGTTAGGTCAATGAGTGGGCATTGTGCCGCAATAATGGTCTCTCGTGGTGGCTGTACCAAGTCCAAGACCACTGTATACTAGTCTTTCTACCTAGCATGTCTTGCAACACCATGGATTTTTAAGTGACAATTTGACTGGGGGCCTGAAACTTTTGCACAGTACTGTACATTAAGTGCATAATATATATACGAGTAAATTTTATACGAATCACCAAAAACACAAAATGTTACAAATAGTCCCAGAATTTTACAGCCACGCATTATTAGATATAATTCATCAAGATGCATGTTTTAGATAAATTTCCTGAAACAAAATAATTGTATTAAGGTCGATTCACACGATCCAATTTTGTTGAATCCAATTTACTTCTGACTTATGGAATATAGTCTGTTATTGATAAAGCAATACTGCATTAGCTTAGTGGTTTGCTCTTCATAAACATCATAAAACAACAGACTATAAAACATCCATCAGAAGTGAATTGGATCCAAAAAAATTGGATCGTGTGAACAGATCTTCATACACCAATCCTTTCCGGGAAAAATGACTAAGGATTGAGGTTTTCTCTACAATTATAGACTTATGTAATTATCGATTGATAACCAATATTACAAGATGTGACTTTAACACATGACTTCTCAGGCTTGGACCGTCTTGGGTTCTTGCTTCTTAAAAGAATTTCAAATAACTCAAGCCACACTTAGCAGGTTTACAAGCATTCGCACTTATAGCAATATTATAATTTTTTTGCGATGGGTGTGATTATTTTGTGGATATGATACAATCGTGTTAGCATTGTTGTTTTCTTCGTCTCTCTCGGAAATTTCATGTACCAGTTGTACTTGGCGTAATGCCAAGAGACGTTTGATGTTTGCAGGTTAAAATATTTTTAAAAGCTCTGCGGAACTTCTTGTTCAGCATTCCATAAATTATAGGATTGCAACTGCTGTTCAAAATGCTCAACATTAGCGCAAGTAACATAAAGTTCTCGGGGAACCCACACTTGCCACGAGCCAAGCACAACATCGCTACACAATACGGTGCCCAACATATCGTAAACGTCACGACAACGGTGATTGTGAGCAAGGACATCCGTCTCTCTCTTTCAGCACGCGAGTTTGAAATCTGGCGGTTGGCGTTATTTGTATGAATTTGTCTACTTTTACGCAAAGCGTGCACGATATGGTAGCCACAGTAGCTCAGGATTGCCAGAGGTGCACCAATCCCAAAAACAGCCAGGGTCAACGTAGTTCCAAGGTCGCTAGCCCAATCCGGGGAACAGTGAAAAAACGTCTCAAGAAAAACATACTTCGCTGTAAAGGAAGGCAAGGCGCTAAGCATAGCACTCCAACACCAGATCACAATAAGGACAACTTTTACCAATTTAATATCAAAGTAACGTCGGTGTTTTATAGGATAGTTGGTTGCCATGAATCTCTCAATACTGATAAACGTTAGAGTGTTAATTGACGTGAGACACAGTAGCATGCTCGCAACACCAGTAATATAACACGGGGCTTCACTCAAAGTAGTTTTCCTTCGTAGAAGACGAACAACGTGCGTGGAGGGAACGATCGCGCTGAAGAGAAAATCGGCAACGCTCAGATTAACGATGATGATATTTTGAAGTGTACGCAACTTTCGTTCTCGATAAAAAGCCAAGAAGACTAAAGTGTGACCAAACAAGGCAACAAGCATTAGGAAAAGCGCAAGCCACGCTCGCGCTGACTTGTCTTCAGGCGCAGTTTCTCCCATTGTAGTATTGTTTAAGCGCACGATGAAGAACATATCGCCGTTGCTATGTTGGTAAAAAGTGCCTAAATTTAACAAGCGCCACTAATGATCAATTGTCTTGTACCCAAAATAATTATTGCGATATACGACGGTCACATAAATTATGCAAAATCCATTCTTTTCTCATCAGTTCACTCAAAGAGATCGACTTTTATATAAAATAGCACCGGGCAGTGATAATTTTAATTATAATCCGCCTATAGTGCATGTTTCTATTTAACAGCAAATAAATAGATAAAAAAACACGGCAGCGAATCAAGGTGCATGCGTGTGCAAACTAATTTTTATTGCAATTGGAAAATAAATAATGCATGAATGTCAGGCAGAAAACACTCGCCAAGGGCAAGGCAGACTAATTTATACTTCCCCACTGCTATTTCGACTGCATGATATATCATTATTATTATTATATTTATTATTATTATTGTTACTATTATTATTATTATGATTAAGAGGGTTTGCATAAAGTAGTAAGTATCACAACAAATAGAACCACAAAAATAACTGTACTTCTGCATGTAGTTAAATATATTTAAAAGAGCCGAAAGGTTTTAGCTACTATGCATGCAGCGCACCGATATAACTCGGTTACGACGGTTAGATTTACTCACTCGTGTGTTTTGTCAATTGCTGCCGAAGCTCGTTCAAACATGAATGATGTGGTCAAAAATATAAAGTGTGCAAGCCGTTGAGCATGGGCTTCACGTCGCCCACAATTGAACTATATACTTGATGCGAAAGTCAAAACAATGATATTCCATCGCGTATATATAGTGTTTATCATAAACCCATGCATAGCACTGTGGCGAAGGAGCTTTTTTCTGCATGTCAGCTGTATTTTGATTGACAAACTTTGATCTTTAATTATTTTTCGTTTTTATTTCAATAAATATTGAACTCGCATACATGACTTTTCATATTTGCATGGAATTCGATATGAATTAAATGCAAATTAAAATACACGTATAGTTATAATAGTATATATGTGTGTAGGTAAATTTCATTTGTAAAAGGTCCAAACGGTCAGTGTGTTTTTGCAATCAGTTTGTTGCTCGCGAAGGTATCTTTTACATGCATCCATGCAGTATGCAGTATGTGCGCAGGTGTTTTAAATTGCACAAATTAATGTAAATAACTATATATAAATATGTACTGATTGATGCAGTGGAAGTCGTGTACATGCATGCAGTTAGAAATCTAAATTCTCAACATAACTACGTTGGGCAAATCATGATGGGAAAATGTTTAAATATATTATGACACCATAATTGAGCCTGTTACTTGAAGCTCGTTTGATCCTGTCATCGTTCATGTCCAAATCATCGTCCTTGGCCTTGCACTATCCTAATTTATATGTACCAACTATATTACCCGAAAATTATTCTCGAGTTTCGACCCTGAATTTGGAAGACATTTAAAGTTTTTATAACATCCTATTATTATCTATCAGATACAATTAATAAATTCATATACATATATTTTTCTTCCTCTTATTTAGCAACGTAAATTGAGTTCATATCCGTCGCGATATCACGCACAAAGATTGTGCATTTATGCATTAGCCAAATTTTCAATTAAGAGTACTTCACAGCTGCTTTGTGGGCCGAAATTAAGGGAAAAGATTAATTATCAATATTCACGCAACAAACATAATTATTAATAAAATCTTTGAAACAGAATTATGGTGGTTCTTTTAAAAAGATTTATCGCAATGGTCCCTAATTCATCATGTGTCAGATTTATAATACTATACATGCAGCTGCATGATGCAGTGTTCTGACAACGCGTATATACTATAGTGTTCTTCCTTTTCAGTGAGATTGATAATGATAGATATAGTTGCAATATTTTCCTGTTTTAAAAAGGATGAGAATTATGATACATATATAATTATGTCAGGTATATTATCGCGCAAATTCACAATTTTTCCGCTCATGATCAGTGAACTTCGAATAATTATACCGGCGAAACATTCACGCATGCATTCAACTTCACACGGATATTTTTCAACATTTGATTTTTTTTAAAATTATACATGCAGAATTTCCCCTGCCCATGATATATATATATATATATATATATATATATATATATATATATATATATATATATATATGTATATATAATATATAGCACACATGCAGTGATGTATATATGCATTGAATATAAGCAGTCCATGGCAATATGTTTAAAAGTGATAGCATTAATATTGATATTGTCTGTTATACAGTTTTATTTATACACTTTGTTCTACATATAGACTGATCTTTACGAATAGTTGGTTTGTTAGAAAACGAAATATAATAGTAATTTATATTATTTTCCGACTTCCCGAATCTTATTTTCAGCCAACTATAATTGTCTTATACGAAGTGATTGACAGGTGCACTGTTAATATGAAAAATAATCATGCAAGTTTCAATTATATTAATTCAGTAGAGAAGAGGAAAGCAGTTTCGATTATTATCATTTTTCCCGATTTGGATAAAAACCAAGAACGTATGTATACGTAGCCTATATACAACAGAGTCTTTTAATGGTCAATAAATCACGGCTTGAAATAAGAAAATGTAAGTCATACAATTTTCAGAGTGTCAACACAAATAGCACAGGTACAATGATGTTTGATGAATCTGTAAACAACTTATAATTACAATCCCAAATTAATCATGAAGAAAAGGCTCTTGAAGAAAGGCTGTCTGGACCGTGTTTCCCCCCCCAAAGTACCGATTCAATCAACGATTTCAGGACGGTTATACACCACATACTTATTTTTATATATAAAACAAAAGTATAGTAACTAAAAGCTGTATCAGAGAGAAACCTTCCGCATATCTCACACAAGTACTACTGATGTTTGTGGTTATTAATAAAAATTTGTCTCTGTCTCTGAATTGGCAAAATTCTGTCGCCCAGTTGCAGCATTATCAGCATAAAATTAATGACAGAAGTATATAATCTAAAATTGTTGCTTGGACTGATTTTTAGCTTATCAATGAATGAAATCGACAATGACGAAAAAGATATAGCGGCATGTCAATTTACCACAATGCAACTAGAGACTGAAGTAACAATGCCAAGAAAAACGCCTCATCACGATGTATGTTTGTGGGTATATATACGCTACCTTGATTTAAAATTTTCCATTTTTTTTTTTTAATTTAATTCTATGCCGATGCGATATTCATGTAAATTATATATCAATTATGATTTTTGGCACTCGATGCAGGAATATTCTAGAGGTTTAAAGGGTCTTAATTTCGAGTGGTATTATAACCACGCACGAAACCAAGTAAAACGCTTCTATTGTTGACTTGTTTCTTATTTCTCCCAATGAACAATTGAACTACAGAAAATTCAGACTGAAATTTACACCAACAAATTATTCTAACAAGCAACAACGATCGTATGGCGTTGTAACGCCATATCAAATATCAGAATGGCTTACCACCGGCACATAATTCATATTAGATTACGCGCAAACAGTCACCTGGGCTCGTGTCCTCTATATAAACGCGCAGCCGCAGCACGCTGCTAAATTTATTGGCCCGGTTTATATATACTAGAGAGTCGCACGTCTAGAAACTGCACGGAAATTGGGAATCCAAATGAGAGCAAAAATGTCATTAGTGAAGCATTTATCTGGTAAAAGAAAAGTAAAGAAAGATAATTTTAATGTGTGACGAAAAGTGTGCACGAGCGCCTTTTTATTACGAAATTTTCTGTAGTTCGTCCCCATGCCCCTTATTTATTAACAGACGGACGATGCGTCTAGAGGAACTACCATTCAAATTTAGGAATTCAAGTTAGAATTATAGTAATGAAAATGTTTAGGAATTCAAGTTAGAATTATCTTCGTAGATTCTGGATAAGGATTACTAACCACAATCAGGAATCCGTGTACTCTTTCAGTCTAGCATCTATACATTCTTCCTTTCTTTTGTTATGACCTGGCCCGCACTATGCATGTTACAATTGTCCGAATCATATGGTTGAGAAGGTTTTTAACACTATAATGACTAAGTGAATATAAAACTGTGCCCTTTTATACAGCGCGCCATAGAGTAATTTTAACTCTAATGTATACTGATAGTGGAATTGATTTATAGGTCCATATTTTTTACTCTCCTTATATGGGAATCATTTAAACCCCCCGGTAGATAAAGTTAAAAAAACTCACCGAAAATTAACAGTGCATGACCAGCCGCGGCTTTTTAACCGACACGTAAAATCAGTGTGTGATTCTCAGTGACCTTTAATCATGTGCAACAATACCAACTACATTGTAAGATGTTGTCAGACCGTATGGAAATACAAAAGAAAGAATATAAATCATTATATTTTATAAACCAAAAATATTTTCAATCTACACTAAAGTACTCAATCGCCTTGGAGTAAATACTATTTATACTATATGGTTCTCAGTACGTAATGGATGTCACGGGTTACATAAAATAGAAAACTTCAATCTCAGATGGGGTGAAGCTGTAACTACCAGCTAATAATGCTCTGGTATTGCTGGCTTGATAATTGTAACCAGAGGGAGGACGGTACGTGTTGCCGAAATTTGTGTGCGAGGATGTTGACTGACCAGCATTGTTTGCAATCAGGATGTCGTGACCACCTCCAAAGATTGGACCATAACCAGGGCCTGTGTATATAGCATATTGACTGTATCGGTAGACATCAGCTTTAAATTGTTTCAAATTGTATCGGTTCCGCAAGGAAAATATGAAAGATTTGTACTTGATCTGTATGTACCGCTAGATCCTGCAAAAAATCGGTTGTCGGACTGTTAGAATAAAAGGAAAGGGAAGGGAGCATGTTAAATTTTCCTTAACTTTTGAGATGTGTTGCTTCATGCCCATTGCCCACCTCCCCTCGCTTTGGTTAAACTGCTTTCTGACGATGTGACGGATATGCATTTTTTTTTTACAAATCAGCAGCGGGCGGAATCCTAGCCTTACCTGCGATCTGATTGGCTGTGAGCAGCGGGCGGAATTTTACGATATCTGACCACGGTCCGGAATCCCATAATTTATGCTCGAGCGAAAGCGCCTATTTTTGTTTTTCCGAGTAAAGATTTATTCGCAAATTTTTCATTTTTTTTATTTTACAATATATGGCCAAATGATTATCGTGATAAATTGAAGTGAATTTTAGTAAATAAAATGAACGAGGTTCTTTGTTCAGTGTGATTTTTGTCGCCGTTGCTGAGTCTGACTACACAATGATAATACCACCGAACGCCGCTTTCTGTAAAAAGTAAATACGTTATATATTTACGGTTTTGGTCGGTCCGGATAGAAAAATTTTGAGACCTCGCGCAAATATTTTTCTATCAGGACCTCGCAGCTGGTAAATAGCATATATGTATTCTCAAACTTACCACCCCAGGAGATGTCCGTGTAGCCTCCGAATATGTAGGAATAAACTCTGATGATGGTAACGGTTGCTCCTTTACCATCACAAGCGCCGTGGAACCTTTTGCTTGCCCAACTGTCCTCGGACGCTCGGTAACATAATGTCAAACTTCTATGCGGAGGCAACCATTGCTTGAGTTGATCAATAAAGCTTGGCATTCCGAACAAAATATTACTTGGAATATCTATGGAACAAGATACACGGTCAGTATACAGGGGAAAAAGTGAAAAACTAGACGCGATAATGGGAGTGGATGTATGCTGATCTATATTCATGTTCAAATATCGTGAAAACAACCACAAAAGAAATCAGTTGGGCGTGCACAAGACGGATATGGCAATATGCACTCCCATGCAATCAGCTAGTGCACATGACCGGCATGTATAAGCATTGTTTTAGTCAGTACTTCCATGTTATTTCTAACTCGCTCGAAATTAGTGCTGAAAACTCTCTAGTATATATATAATGTATAATTCTTCTACTCACAAGCTTGCTGAGCTGCCTGTGCATGCATTTAAAAAGTGAGAGAGGGGGGGGGGGGGGAGGGGCGGCGAAGGACTGTCAAAAGTGGATGATTCTTACCTTGGTAATTAAACGATCTCATCCGGTTGGTGATACTTTGGTTAATATTTTCAACTTTGGTCTTCAGTTCCGCAATGTCTTTATTTAAGATTTTGATTATCTTAAATAATTGAATTATCTTTTAATTATGCCTTAATTTAAGCATCAACTGCATGTAGCTATATAACAAAGTTCAGTTAACAGCGAATAGTATTACGATGTTGCTGCATGAATTTCATTGTGGATAGTTCGACTTTACTTTATGTTTGTTTCACCATGCATTATTTTGTATACCAAGTGGCAAATCAAGAAGATAATACAATCAACACAAGTGAAATCCGCCGGACATAACGAACATATGAATATGCACCCCCCCCCCCTCTCGCCGTTATCGCATCTAATTTCAATCCCATCTACGGATTGGTCACGCGATTTAATTTTATTTTCATATTTACAGCAATATTTTTTAATGAAAGGAATATGAGACTTTACCTCTTTCTGTTTCGCTATAAGCTCCAGTTTCTCACCCCCCTGAACATAAAGCTTTTGATTATCTGTTCGATATACCATCATTCCTGTGACAGACGGAACTTTGGCAGCAGTTTTGTTATTTGGAACGACTAGCATCTAAAAATAACAATCGTGTCTAAACCGCCGAAAGTCTTTTTCTATAGATGAAGTTGGCGTTCGAATTAGAATCTCTAACACCTAAAGAAATCAGACCATTCGAAGGAATGGACATGAACTGGGGTATGAGCGTTAAATTGTGACGAGAAGAGAGTTGCAAAGCATTTGCTGAAATATTAATTTGCCAGTATGCATGATATAGCTAATATCTGTAAAGAAATATAGAATCGCTGCATGTTTGTTATACGCGCGCGTGCATCCTTTTCAATATTAACGTAAACCCGTATATACACCGCGTTTATGCTTTTTTTCTCTAAGCAACTATCTATACAACCAACGTTTTTTTCTCCAAGCACCATGCAAGCAACTATCTGCAACCATGCATGTCTTGTGTTTTAGCACAGCATGAATACTCACCCCCTCGTAAAAACGAACTTTACCCTTTGCACAACGCCCCTATATAAGAATGAATTATTAAATTTAATATTCCTTTGCGAACACGGCGAATTTTAGAGTAAGCACTGAAGAAGTATACGTAATTTGTATGAGAAAAGAGCAGACTGAACCGAAAACCACTGACAAAAGTCGATCAACAGTCGATAACTTGATAGTACGAGTAGCCTACAAATGTTTCGCTATATATCTGAACGAAAACTAAAATATTTGTGTAACATTTTTAGACTGAACTGTATTTCACATTAACAACTTTCAGTCATTCTTGAAATAATTGGTTGATATAACCGAGCTGGGATTTTGCATGCATAAATGTATTTCTATTAATATAACGGTGTTGAGTATAGCTTGAGGTGTCCTTTTTAAGGTTGATGACCATTAAAACAACTATATATATTCACTCTAGTAATTTAACTTCCTTTCTTCATCCTAATTTATAGATATATAAAAATTTTGTAAATATATAATAATATTATAAAAAATTAAAAAACCGTACTAAAATGGGTATTTCACTGCCGTCAACAAACTTGTACCACACTGTTTTGCCGCCTTCTCTTGTCTTGTATTCCATGCATTTGTTCCAGGAACGTTTCGGTAGTGAGGATCGTACCCAAAACCATGTAAATACGTTGTTTTTGTGAACAGTGCCATTATTCTGTGCTTTACATTCTTTTAAGCAATATTCCTTCTTGCCGTTCTTTGGACCATAACAACTGCAACACTGTATACATAATATTTTCTTTATTAATATTTTAACTATAGTTGCCTATTAAACTAAATTTCATTAAACCTTTCCGTTGTCGCAGCCAACAAATGCAGTTGCAGCATAACTGATCCCGGAAATTCTGCTTGACACACTATAGCTATATGAAATATGAAATATGCTTGATACACTGTAGCTATATATAGTTACAATTTCATATATGAAATTACAAAATTTTGCAGTTAAGAAATTTTGACTTCCATGCATGTTAACTATATAATTTACTTTTGTAATTGTGTGCCGGATGAAGAAGCAGTGATGACCTACTGACACGTTCGAGATTGTCTATTATCATAATCTGTCCCTATATATTATACACCCAGTTTAATAAACAACATAGAATACTTTTGAATTAAGACTCGGTATATAGTCATACACCATACAAGTGTTAGAATCCAGCTTTAAGATCACTTGAAGCGAGTAAAAATTAATATATAGTCCATGTATGCACTTGTTTGGATTTTGGACTATACTTATACTGATACAAATATTTTTGCCGCAAAAATAAAACTGCAGATTAGATATTGAGTAGTGTATGATTCCATTCGAAATTAAGACCTTTAGATTTTACCTACATCAAGTGAAGTGCCACAAAGTCATAATTGATTTACCCAACTACAGATCATATTATACACAAGGCTTTACGGTTTGAAATAATTTCCACGAAAATCGAAATCATGCTCAGCGCAAAACAAAAGATGGCGTTGTATACTGTAAACATTTCGCTGTTGCTAATCAATGTAAACTGAATACCTGAATGCACCAGAAAAGTCCGTCTGATATTTAAATTGCTTGATCAAAGGATGATACGCAAATCCATATCCGCACGGTTTTTGCAAGCATGAATTCATCATATGCTAATAAAAAATATATCAATAAATATGATAAAAATATAACTGATAACCACTTCTTTATACTGAAAAACATTATGTTTGATACAAACCCAACCAAATTTTGTGCGAGGGTGGTGGGCCAAGCCAAACTTTGAACACCTGAACTTCCTTGTCACTATTGTGTCAGATATCAAATTCTTCACAAATTCAACGTCTCCTATACCAGGAGAATGTTTGTCGCATCCACCTTTGTTGATAATCATCAAGTCTTTCAACTTACGAGACTTTCTCAGTCTGTAAAACCTATTGAAATAGAAGCATTTAGTTAGAATTTTGGCATTGCATGCTCTTCGTATCATATGAAATCTGCAGGTTTTAGCACAGAGACATATAAGATGTAATCAAACGGTAATTAGCATGCTTTTTGAAGTATCCAGTATAGTATATACCAATGTGCTTTAGTGGTCTTGAAATCTTCAGCGGTTGCTACTTGCACTCTAAAGTCAACTATTGGCATCTCCCCCAGATCACTTGACCAATGAGGTTCACCAAATGGTGTCACTGGTTTGTTATTGGAGGGAACTGACCATGTCTCTGATGTATTTTTACGACCAATAAGTATGAATCCCCCACCATCCGTTATCATATCGCACCACACCTTTATCAAGAAAGAACAGAGGTTGTTAAGATATAATATTATTACTCTACGTACATATATCCATCGCATGCAGTAATCGCTACTCTGCATGGTATATAGCTACTATAGACTATATATATACAACGCGTTTTTACACTTTATTTAAAATATATTATATAAGGAGACATTTTACAACACTACGGGGGTTCTCTGGATAATTATCTATCATGCACATATAATAAAATTTCTATAGTGCTCAGTAAAATGATTCAGTTTTTGTATAAAATTGTTGTATCAACTTTTATGTAGACGAGGTTACAGGATGATGCCAAATTTTTTTATCAATTATATCGAGAAAGAAGAAATAGTCAGTTTTCAGGTAACATGCATGCATGCTGAAAAAAAACTAATGAAAAACTGCAGCAAAGTGAGTCACATGCATGCATGTAACTAAATGTCAACTGCGAGGTGCTAAATAATTGTATATGTTTTTCATTGTTTTATAAACGTTTAGCTGCTAATAGAAAACTCGGAATTAACTATCAAGTATAATGAGCCGATTGGTAAATTGGTTTTCAGTAAAAAGCATAGGATAACAGTGGCATTTGTCCTTAGCATACCTAATAATTGTGAATATAGATATATACCTTTCTTGGTGACGATTTCTTGCCGAGATTTATCCAGTATGGTCCATCTTTTGCCTTTGGATCACGGTTTAAAATATCTGTGCAATCATATGCTGGGTTGAAAAATTCACCAGGTGGGCTTTTACCTATGTATAATATATTTACAATGGAAGTAAATTCAAAGAAAAATGGCAAAAATTATCTGGACCATTACTAAATTATTAAAACATGTCTCACCTTATTTGTTTATTTGCATCGAAAATTGAACTGGAAAGTTTGTTATAGCGAACTATTGTGCTTTAAACATTAATATATATTAAATAACGAGAACTACATTTATAAGCTGCAAGAGAGATGACGATAATTTTATTATTATATATAATATAGTTTCGGAATTGTTAATTTCGAAATACGTGCATGCATTGATTTGACGTACCATTAAGTGTTCTCCATGCAAATACACCATTGTCGTTTGTACAAATTAACAGTTTATACTTGTTTTCTCGATCACGAACCAGAAATGTCTCCCCTTTGTTTTTCTTGGAGCATAATCCGGGATTGTTTCCTTTTAATATTTTGATTGTGTTCTATATATAATAAGAGCACTGACTGCATGATTCATATAGAACTCAATACAGCAGAATGGCGCATATATTATGCCGTAACAAGAACAGTTAACCATGGCGTAAATAACACTTACAACATTTGCAAAACAAAATGCAATTCCAATAGCAAAGGCTAATTTCAACCAGTGATTCATCCTGAATACAAGTGATCATGCACCTTGCCAGCTATGTAGGTACATCTGTTCAGGGTATTCGCAATATACAATATCACTCCCAAATAACAGAAATAAGTAGTAGCTGTCTCAGGTTTGCGCTGAAAAGGAAGTCTCAACACGACAATAGTTAAATAACCTCAACTGCATGACTGACACCGTGCTTATCATGTGTTGTTGGATAATAACATATAGCGTTTACTTATCTGCATTTTAGGCGAATAAAGGGAAAAATCGTAGGTCATGTATTAGATATTACACGGTTGCGACTAAATATGGATTTTATGTCCGAGCGGCAAAAACAATATCATTGATGGTAAAGCTGACGTGCACTATTTTGTTTTATAGTAGGTATAAATAGGTGGTGGGTACATTTAAAAAGTTGATCACATATTATTGTTCACATTTTTAGTTTTTATTTGGCGCATATTGGCTGCCTATAGCATGACCATTTATGATAGCCAGACCAGACACGGCGGTAAAAAACTGAGGGGAGGCTCGAGGAATGAGTTTGTAACTAACATAATTATAAGTTAGGTGTCAGAAACCACTTGCAAGACTGAGCTAAAATAAACGTTTTTGTTCGGAGAGGGAAGTGTATAATGGAGAATGGAAACTCGATTTCACATGTTGGGACCGTTGGCTGAAAATTCATTAAATTCAAAAAGCTCTGAGGAGACTCTGAATATACAATTGAATTGTTATTGCTTAAATTCTAAACACTTCTCATTTCAAATTCATCTGAGATTAATTTATATCGCGGACGGCGGACGGCAGACGTCTATATATAGTGTTTCTTAAGTTTTAAACCTTTGCAGTCGCATCTCTTGTTATAACAAAAGCATTCTCAAATGCCGGCATGCAGGCTTCGGTTTAGGCCCCTTGAAAATGAACGTCTTAACCGTATATAGTCCGTACGAGTTCACTACATGGTCCGTATACCGCTATTCGATCTGACGACATCTAGCTCTACCAGTGGCGTAGGAAGGGGGGGGCACTGGGGGCACGTGCCCCCCCAAGATTTCTCAAGGGACCAAAAGTGCCCTTTTTGTGAAAAAAAAATGCCTTTTTGGGAAGCGAAAAGAAACGAAAAAGTATCTACTATTTCCCAATAATCCTTAAATTGAGAGGGATTTGCGGCCATTTCAGAGGCATATATCTCAAAAACCCGAACCCCCCTAGCAGTTCCAAACCCAAAAAATACGAAAAATGCTCTGCGGTCGGCGGTCTCTGAATCAAACCGTCCCTATATATATATATTTTTATTAACCATTTTAACCGCCATTTTTATTAACCAAAAGTGCCCCTAGAAGCTGGTGCCCCCCCAACCTCTGGATGCTTCCTACGCCCTTGAGCTCTACAACGATCCTAACTAAAGAATAGCGTATACGCCGTGTAGAAAAGTAAAAGTAATGAAAGTCACAGACAATATCTTACATTTTACAGACGTTTGAACCTTACTAAATTATACCAACATTCACTTGCATGGATAATCTCTCGACCAATCCGTCACTTGCGTTCTCGACACATGCATAAGTGGGTAAATTAGGACTTAGTACAACTTTAGCCAGATCATTCTATATAGTATATGCTAACACAATAGGGTTGTCATCGGACAATACTAAAAGGTTAAACACAGTCAAGTGTGAGAAGTACAATGGGAGTAAATATTAATTGGAGACAATGACCAGGAGGGAGGTTAAACCGAAACGAGTCGCTTTATCTTTAAATTTACTTCCAGACTTATATAATTTATTACATATTATCAAAAGAAAACACTTCATACATTCATAGCACAATGGTAAAATTGTATTTATGAATTTCTAATTGTGTAGCTCACGAAGTGAATATATTTTGATATTAATTTACCTTAATTTTTTTCTATAGCTATACATCCTGCATGCATGTAGAGTATAGAGACAATGCATCGTCTTTCAACATAGTCTGTGCAGTTAATAGTTTTTCCTAACGTTTTAGCTTTCTTTGTTACTAGGGGCGCTTAATTTCTTTCAGGCGGTCAAAATGGTCAAACCGGTCTATTTTGAAAAGAAATAGAGTATTTCGTTAAGAATATAGAGATGTAACTGCATTTCCTATGCTAGGAAGGTCTAAATAACGATATACTGAAATACAGAGTTTTTGAAACACTCTAAAAAAGCAGTATTCTGTCTGTACCGCGAAATAGGCTAGGATAACCACACGAGGTGAGCTTTGTAGAAATAATTATTATGCATGGGTTGTATTTACTCTTTCTTGGTCTTGGCATTTACGGGATGCAAATGAATAGTTGGTGTGCTGGCACGGATTTTGCCAAACAGTCACTTGCAAATTAGACTTTGCATGGTCTTCAATGTAATAACAAAGAAAGGCGCTGACGTCGTGCTTATACACGTGTCACGCGGCAGTACAAATTACGGTCTTTTCAATTCCAGTCAGTTTAGTCCTAACTCCTAACCTCCATTTCTGTTCCGGTAGTATATATATATATATATATATATATATATATATATATATATATATATATATATATATATATAATAAATATATTATAATAAATAATATAATATAAAAATTTTTATTATATAATATATAATATATATATATATATATATTATATATATATTATATATATTATATATATATATATATATATTATATATATATATATATATATATAATATATATATATATATATATATATACATGCAGCGGGAATCGAGATACGATTTAGCTCATCCCGCTCATTCAGTTCCCTGTAAATGTCCGTCTACATGCATGCACGCAAACACTTAATTTTTATAACTGAATTACAGTAAGAGTTTAAAAGTGAAAATACACACACATTGTTTGCACATGTTAAACTATATATGTACATCAAATTTTACTTGTGAATTCATTGCAACTTTACTTTAGGCCCGTTTCAGTTGTCGAACTTTTCATGCGCCAGACCTAGCTATTCAACATGCAGCTAAAGTCAATTTGCATTTGATTTGGCACCTGAAATGTTCAACGTCTGGGAACCAAAGTCAATATTTTCCCATTATCATGTCGTCAATGCAATAAGCCAGAGGCCCAGAGCATTATACCATCAGCACCGCCATGGCTCAAGAGTGATAAATATCATTATTATAGTTGAAAGCTATAACGCATATATCGTATAGCTAAAATAATCGTAATACATTCTGGGATTTCTGCCGCTAAGATAGCATGCTTATAGCTAACTGTAGCTGATTATTAAATTATTGTATTTAACGAAGATAAACAGCAAACACCTCAGCCGTACCAACCTCATCTGAAAGCAAAATGAAAAAAGATGGATAAACATATCAGTTTAGATAACAGAATCAGCAGAGACTTAATATGCCATTCAATGATTCAAGTATATATATTCTGCCGGATTTCTGCGTATTCATTCAGGGACCTTATATTAAGCATGTAGGACGCAACCGACGAGTTAAACGACTGACGACACGGGGTCACACGGCTGAAACTCTTCTTCGAATAAATGCATGCTATGGTGTATTATCATAAAATAATTAATAATACTGCATGTATATCATCAATCGTATCAATTTAATTAGCTATATATACTAATAGTACGTTGAAAACATTGGGTTTATGTTTGGGGACTATTCTATAAAGCCTAATTCGAGGTATAACGCATGCAGACGTTCTAACAGCGTGTATAAAAAAACGCAACCACACTAAATATTTTTTAATAATCGCTTTAGTCGCTTTCTGTTTGAGCACAAAAAATCGAATATTCATTATATAAATACAGGACGCGAAAATTGGAGATTCGCAATTGTAAACAGAACGTATGGACTGTGTCCCCAAAAAAGTAACCTTAACAGCAAAATAATGATTTACTAGGGTACTTTTTTGGGACATACGGTACGTAGTATAGACTATATAGACGACGTCTAAGCTCCCATAGGTCTTTACTTATCATTTCTTTTCAAAGACTCGTCTATTAAGGTCGCTATAATTGGAGTCACTCGCATGACTCGCAAAAATATGCATCACGTGATCACAAAACGTTTGGGCAGCAGTCTGGGCATGATGAGACATATTTCATCAGTTCATGGGGTAAAACTGTAACTGAGCTTACCATAATGATCTCCAGGTCACATTGGTTTCACTCTTACTATACTGAAAAGAGTTTCCTGGAAATCGCGTTTCCCAAGGGCAGGCTGTTGAACCACCAATCATTAACCAGCCGGCATCACCGAGGCAATGATTATAAATGCTATTGATAAAAAAAGAACGGCAACGGTGCTTAACCTGCTTGGAACACGACCCATCTATGCTGAAGAAGTTCTTTGGAGATGAGAAAATATCTTGCCAAGGAGGCTCTTGTAGACGGTCAATACTAAACCAGTCCATATTGTTTGTGCCACTGGCATTAAATTTTAATACGACATGTTCCTTGGTTTGGGTATAGAGCACAACACGGACCTGTTCAATTAAAAGACGCATAACTGAGATTATGTGCACACGAGCGTCGTTTTCGAGCGTTTTCAAAATCGTTTTTGTCTAGTTTATCGCTTTGACGCCTTGTCCACACGATCCAAGGAAAAAAATGCTCAATATGTTTAATTAGCTTCAACTGATCTATCGTTAATTGAATTGTTCAACTCTCGAAAACGTTACCGCGTGTACACATAGTCTGAATACTTGAGTATAGTTAACTTAGGCCTCATTAGACTCGTTATCAGGCGTTCACACGTTCAAGGCACGGACAAAAAACAAGAGGAGAAAATTAAGAAAGACGAATGTCTGGACATATAAGCGGGCGAAAACTGAACCGATGTAGCTAGTATATGATAGTGCTGTAAAATATATTTTCTATTTGAACTAGATTGGTAAAAATGAAAACAAAAACGAAAAAGATCAGGCAGGTACCCCCTACTATAATGTTTGCGAATTGCTTGGATTCACGAACAATCATCCAAGTTTGCACACATTTTTTCTGCCTTGCATGGGTGATCAATGTAAGAGAGCAAGTCGACAAGACGACAACATGCAGTGCCTCGCATTCATCCACAGTGACTCAATACTTGTTCCGTTCCGTACTCAATAGACCGTCCACGGTGATTAAGCATCAGGGGCCGGTTGTTCGAAAGGCGTTTAGCTTAAACGGTGTTTAAACGAAAAACCGGCACCAGCAATATGTTTAACCGGAAAGAATAAAAATATCTCAAAATATTATATATAGGATTTGTGCATTAGCTTAGAATTAAGGATTCCAGGATTCAACTCAGAACAAGAGTAAATATACCTCAGTAGGATTAAACGTTTCCCAATCTTGTACCATTCGGTTTTTGTAGTGACGTTTGAAAGAATTATTTTTATTCAAGGCGTCAAGAGAAGACTCTTCACGTGTAAGAGAATCACTCCAAATATTGTTGATTGTTCCATTTTCGCCAGCAATTGTTTTGAACACAAGAATCCAACCTATACATAGATATGTGCTGGATAATACATTCATGCATATTAATTTTGAAACGCAATAAAATTGGTAAACACGCATAAATACATACCGCCGTTTTCCATGTCGCAATATACTGGAAATGGTTGATCGATAGCTATAAAAACGCACAATATTTGATGCCTCAAGCTGATCTTCCTTCTTATTCCCACAGATAAATATTGGTAGCTGAGTTATAATGACTTTATGCAGACGGTAGACTACCTAATCATGCATGTAGTCGGTTATCGAAAATAATTTAAAGCCCCGTTTACACTACAGTCAATTTATCGGCACGGCACGGCTAAGATTGGTACCCGTACCCAATTTTATTATAGTGTTCAGGCTACCTTGCAAACAAAGGCCGAGCACAGATGAAATGGTTAAGGGTACCCATTTTAGTCATTCCGTGTCAATAAATCGAGTGTAGTATAAACGAGTCCTTAAAAAAGCTGGAATATCTCACTGAGTTGACGACGGTCATGAAATTATTACAACAAAATACTAAACTGCAAAAATTTGCAAAAAAGTGTTGCCTATGTTGGCTTGGCGTACACGCGGCTTCAAAATGTGTGCATAGTGACTGGTGTGTTCTTAATTATATGCATATATAACACTGTAAATCGCTATGAATGAGGAATTAATGTATCCCTATACGTACCTGTTCCCAGAGTCATCCAGTATATCCCATCACGAATATCGTTTGTGCCGCTTCTTTTCTTCAAAATATCTTCACAAGATCGTCCAGGGATTCCTTTTGTCCCATACTATATACGATAAATACAGAATATGTGTCATGATTTAAAATTTAATTTTAATAGTTTTTCTTTTGTCCCATGCATACTATAGCTGCAATAAATACAGTATATATGCCATAATATTATTTCTAATGAACACTTATTTTGACAGTTTTGCCAAGCGTTTTGATGTTATTAATCAATTTTCTTGCCACAGGACATAAGAGAGCTGCATGGAGTCGTCGTAATATGTTATCTTGGAAGAAGAAATTATATATATATATATATATATATATATATATATATATATATATATATATATATATAATATATATTCCTGTGCTCAATACTAAATTGAAAAGCAGAGCTATATTATTATTTAAAATCTCAAAATTACAATTATTATTCGCTACTCAAAGTTTCACGATCTATAATGATCTATCATCAGGCGATTATGTCTGGTTATTACTCTTGCTTGATTTCGTTGATTTTCAATTTATTGCACGCGCGCACGATGAAATTTTCCGGCTTTGTACCGGTCATTGTGGGGGCATTTCTTGAACAGTTCCGATCGCTTATTTAATAGGTTTTTATGGTTTGATTTCATAATTAAAAGTCAGTTTCTCTTTAATACAAAGATTACAACGTGAGTTACCGGGAGCATAGGGTGTTGAGTAATTCAGAATTGACCAATGGATGGAAAAATCTTTTTCCTTAAATTTAAGTTGCAATACATATTTCGAACAGTCATTTTCCTTTTCATATCGAATTAAATTAAACGATTTCTTATATGGTTGTTATATATATCAACCATATATATCAATATAGCAACCATAAGAAATCGTTTAATTTAATTAACTAATGTCCCCACAATGACCGCGGTACAATTTAAAGCTGGAAAATTTCATCGTGCGCGAGTACAACAAGATAAATTGAAATCAAGCATGCAAGAGAATTAAACGGACATAATCGCCTGATGATCGATCATTAAAGATCGTAATATCACTATATATATCGCAATATATACATAATATATATTATTTTGAGGCAACGAGGGGAAAAAGCGAATAGCCTTCTTATGTGGCAACTTACTACGTTGACAGTCTGAAAAAATGTCCACGATTCAGCATAATTTTGTTCATGAATGTGGTCTTGCTTAAGCCTTTCAACGAGCTGACAGTTTATTCCGTCATCTATTTTAACACGTCCTGTCCTGTAGCCAAATCCTAAACAGTTTTCCAAACGAATGCAAAATAATGCGCATTCAATATCGGTTTCAACCGTGTGGTTTGAAATGATCCCTTCGCTTTGTAAGTAGAAATCTGTATGAAATGATAAATGGTATTATGGATGAGGACATGCATACAAACAGTGCCATGACCGAAACTGCACGGGGAAACACTCAGAATTGCAATTATATAACTATAAGCAGATTCCCTATGTTCATTATGAATATTTAATATAATAATATGCTATATATACATTTATGCTACCGATAGATATATGATTGTTTTGACAACATTTTAACAACATATTTAACAAGTTTTTACTGAAATTAAACCTTCAAATGAACTTGTCTAAAAAACATTTATAACAAGTAGCTATTTCATGAAATACCAGAGGAAAAGGTTATGTCCGCTGAAACTGCATGGGGAATTGCAAATTATTATTTAACTATAAGCAGAGTTCAAAGAATGAATTATTTAATATAATATGCTATATATATATATACGACATATATACAGCGTAAACTGATGTTAATATATTATATATATTATATATATTATATATTATATATATTATAACATATATTATATGTATACATCAGTTTTCGCCCCCGATATATATAATTGTTTTGGCGCAAAATTTCACTCAACAACATTTAACAAATGAACTTGTCTAAAAAACATTTATGTTTAAGAAATGAAACCTCTTTTCGAATTCATGTAAAAATAAAACTGAAAATATTTTGAACGCGCATTCTGTCAGTTCCTTATGTTTTTCCTTCATTGAGAAGATTAGGCGTTTAGACTTAGGTTGAAACGTCAAGAAGTCAAGAGTAGGACAGCATATATAACTTCCTCAAGATCAAGGGGGAACATGCAACACAACATAACGTACAACTCATTCCTGACGAAACGTTTTCCTCAAGAAAAGATATTGAAATAATCCTGTATAACTTTGAAACCCTGAATTCCGTTTTCTTCTCATGAGGATTCGAATCAATATGGAGTTTCAAGTTCCCATGTACTACATAGAGTCACTGGGACTCTGATACATGGCAAGACTTGGGGCAATATAAAAAAAACAAGTCTTACCTGTTGTAATTTGCCGGAACAGATTTCCATAAGTACCCACAAATACTATAATAATCACAAAAAAAGTGAAAGAATGAAACGGATTTCACTTCAAAAAGAATTCCAGGCATTATTTTTGGTTTGATCGCGCGCGTACATGAAATGTGTATGCCGACCATCAGATAGATAATGACTGACTGTATGATTGATGTTGATTACAGATGACGGCAAATTCATGATTAATTTCTTTTCAAGAACAAGCCATCTGCAAATGCTTCCTATATTTGAAAAATGGTTTAAATATCTGTTTTGATAGGATGATTCACTTTTTAAACTGACAACCGAAGTATTAAAATTCGTTGGGGGTGGCTTTATTGAAAGTCGATTTAGGCCTACGGGGAAAAGTTGGGAACTAAGAGAGAAGGGGTCACTATATCGCGCACAGTTCAGCCCAGTTCTAGCCTATAAGGCAAATGTTACACATATTTTGATTTTAGTTTAATGGTTGCTGGACATGGCTTTTTTATTATTTACTTGTTATAATAATCATGATAATTCATGTCTCTCAAGGCTCGTTTACATTTTTGGCTGCGATTTTCTTCTTTTGATAGATGTGAACGAGTAATGCTCTGATGTATAAGAACTCTAATTTGAACATTGGTAACTAATTTACTCGTTCACATCTATCAAAAAAAGAAAATTGCACATAAAATCGCTGCAAAAATTGCAAGTATTGAAGTAAAAATCAGCAAGTGAGTCAGTAACTTGCTAACATTTAGCACTTAGCCCCCCCCCCAACTCTCTGATACGTTCCGCGGTCGGGAAATAACTGGGACTAGTTGCCAAATACAACCACAGTGAAAACAACTTTTGTGTAGTAAGTTAAAATATCTCTTGAACTAGTAATTAAGTTTTTAAATTTATGTCAAAACTATGGTTCTTAAAACTGAACTATAGTCTATAAGATTATTAAGATATAGAATTTCGATTAGTTTTATAAAGAGTGAAAAAATATATAATTAAATTTTATCTACTTTAATTTCGTTCTCGTGGCGCTCGCGCGTGTACGCGAGTCTACTCGGTGTATTATGACCATAATAAATAATAGACGCGCGAGGGGTACGAGAACGAAACATTTCTGGGCTGCCGCCTATGAAAACTGAAAAGGCTATGAGATCATACATCATCTAGATCTTAGATCTACTCAGCCTTTTGTAGCAAATGATATTGATTGTGCCTCTGTTGTTTCGTTTCTGTTGACAAAAAATACAACTCTAAAATACTTGATTAAATTAAATTCGGGAATATGGCAACGGCAGTCGAAACCCCGGAAGTGAGAGTAACTGGTCAACTTGTTCCCTTGGAAGAGTTTGATAGAATAAGAAATGCTGTTTGCTTGTTGAAATCAAATACCAAAGACCAAAGGTTTGTATTTGTAGAATTTTGTGAAAACAAATTTATATTTCTTACCATGTATCGCTTAAAAATTAATGTCTAAATACATTTCAATTTCTGTATAAATTAGTACTATAATTACTATTGATAAAATTTACTACTTCATAAATCGATAATCTAGGCTTAGGTAAAGGTACCAAAGTTTGATACTGGAAAACTATTCATTGAAAGACTATTGAATGTTTTCTATCAAATTAATTAATTATCCCATATAGTGCAGTTTTGTGTGCGATGCAATTACTTGGCATGGTACTCATTCTTTTTATTTCCATCAATTTGTAGCAAGTCATGGAGTGCTTCTGGATTTTATGTAAAGGTGAAACTAAAAGGAAAAGAAATTCATTGCATCATGACAAATTTTCATGTATTTCAAAAGAAACAGGAAAATAGCGATGATATGGTGGCTGTGTTTAATCATGAGTCAACTGAAAGGGAGCCTTTGGAACTTCCCCTTGTGCCATTCACATTATTTGCGTCAAACACGGTTAGTATCACAGGCCTTATCACTTGTCAAATAGTATTTCAGTGAAAAATCTTGAGAAATCCTCAATGTCAAAGATTAACTTAACGACAAACAACATGAACTCTTAGTAACTCTAAGCGGTAACCCTAACTCATGGCAGTAATTAGGAATGTAATCTGTAATCAATGTAAATTTTTCCTACATGCATGCAAGTGTAATCACTGCTTTTGTTGATTAAGACAAAATGTGCAGCTCATGTTTAAAACCATATTTCAAACTCCTATTTCCATCTTACAAACTCATTACTTTAAGGTACTGGATTATGCATTGATTCGAGTCAAAGAAAGTGACATGAAATCCGTAGGGGTGAAACCAATACTGGCTGATGACAGTAGATTACCAGATGTCCATGATGATGATACAGTGTACATTATTCAACATCCAGAAGGATGGAGAAAGCATTTTAGTCATGACAAAGTCAAGCGTGTTAACAAACCATTTATAGAATACAATGCCGATACGCTCAGAGGATCTTCTGGATCACCTGTCTGTATCTTGAATGAGTCAAAACTTTTTCTGCTTGCATTGCATAGCTGTGGTGTTACTTATGATGGAGCTAACCCAAGTGCTTGGAATAAAGGCGTGCTTCTTTCTGAAATATTGCATCATCTTCTCACTGGTTTAGGTAAGGTTATATAAAAGGTTATTGTTGGGTTAAAAAAGGTTATAGGTAAAAGGTTAAGGTTATATAGATAAGGTTATGAAATGAAAGCATTATAGACCAGCATGGCCTTACATGCTGTAAGCAACAATTCTTAAACTTATCAATCATACATAACCCTTCTTAAACTTATCAGTATTCCAATAGAAAAATTGAGAAGGTTGATAGTATGGAGATGTACAATCATCATACCAATTAGTTATAGGTAATCAGACAAATCCATAGTCCATACAGTTTTTTTTAGGCAAGTAGGATTTTCAAAATAGGGATGCTGTGTCAAGAATGCAATTTGACTGGCCTTTGCAGTGATAGAAATATTAATACCACAGTTCCAGTAGCATTTGACATATCTGATGCGTGTCAGGTTCTGCAATCTTTGTGCCATAATCCTATAGTTTACAGCTAAACTTTCACAAAACGCTTCTGCTGCAGTTAATCACCTAGTGCATGTCCAGTCATTCTGATCATTGTGAATGTTTTTAAGGCTGGTTTACTCTTGCAGTTTTTGTTGTGATTTAATTTATATGTTCAGATACGAGTTCGTACACAGTAGACCATTCGTAACTTATTACTCACCTATACTAAAAAAAGATAATCGCACTAAAAATTGCAAGTGTAAAGGCCTTTAGTAAAGGTATAATGACCAAAGATTTCATTGTCTTGTAGTTCAAGAGCTTCCTACGCCCACACCTGGTGTTCCGGATCAAATGGAGAGTGGTAGTTTGGCTGTCGTAGGTAGGTAGCTATATCTCGATGTTTATCATTTTTCAAAAAAACTGTGTGAGCTACATGAATTTAGGATATTTAAGATATTTTGATTCACATAAATATTTTTGTGCAGTTTTGGTTGAGATTTATTAAAATTACCCTGACTTTCTTTGTGATATTAACATTGGTCTCAATATTTCAAGCAGATCATAGACTCCCATTATTTCTCCCATTCTTTACGTTTACCTATGTTGCCTGCGTGTGTAGTGTAGTAAAATGTGTTGTATAGTAAAGTGCTGTATGGTAAAATATTGTCTTTGTGGTTAATTGTATCAGTTTTCAGGGGTTTTTTTCAAATGTTGTTTAATGATAGATTTTCTTCAAGGTAAGAAAGATCCTGATAACAGAGTCACCAAAGATGATATTATTTACATAGCTAACGATATCATCGGAGAGTGGAAGCAGCTTGGCAGAGCACTTGGACATTCGGACAGCACTTTAAAAATCATTGACGCAGATAATGATAAAGTGTACAATAAATCCTATGAAATGTTAATCAAATGGACCTATAAAATGGTGTCAAAAGCGACCTATGGGAATCTAGCGGCAGGCTTCTCTCACCCAACTGTAAATAGGTTCGACTTGATTGAGAAGTACTGTTAAAATCTATGTGTAGTAATTTTAGTAGTTACCATTGTCCCCTCCATGGGAAGCAGACTGGCCCTCCCCTCAGAGGAAGCAAAACAGTCTAAAACAGAACGCCAAACAGCCGTCTAAAAAAAGAACGCCAAACAGTCTAAAAAAAAAGCGCATGTGTCGTTAAGTGTTTTCTAGGTCTTTTAGCAGGTTTATGTTTTATACCGTGTTTATGAGCTTGTAATCGTTGCTATTTTTAAAATTGCTATTTTTAAAAAAGAATCACAAGTATAATTAGCCAATGAAATTCTAGATGAAATTCGAACTTCTAAGAATTAATTTTACACGGCGATAGCAAGAATATAAGTATTTGCAAAAATGAGCGAAATAAACAATGTTTAATGCTCACGTGACTGATATTTATATCTTTGTATATATATTGTCTAAAACTCCCATAGGTCTTTACTTATCATTTCAAGACCCGTCTATTGATAGCCGACGTCGTCGTCCTTCATGCTTAAGGTCGCTAATTGGAGTCACTCGCTTGACTCGCAAGTATATGCATCACGTGACCACAAAACGTTTGGGCAGCAGTTTAGGCATGATGAGACATATTTCATCAGTTCATGGGGGTAAAACTGCAACTGAGCTTACCATAATGACTCCAGGTCACATTGGTTTCACTGTTACTATACTGAAAAGAGTTTCCTGGAAATCGCGTTTCCCAAGGGCAGCCTGTTAAACCACCATGCAATCATCAGTAACCAGCTGGCATCACCGGGGCAACTGTTATAAATGCTATTGATAAAAAAATAACGACAACGGTGCTTGGAACACTGCCCATGCATCTATGCTGAAGAAGTTCTTTGGAGATATCTCAGAAAATATCTCAGTTGCCAAGGAGGCTCTTTTAGACGGTCAATACTAAACCAGTCCGTATTGTTTGTGTCACTGGCATTAATTTTTAATACGACATGTTCCTTGGTTTGGTTACAGAGCACTTCAAACTTCAAGCATTCAAACTTTCCGAGCGTGTACGTGCGTATACAAAACGCGTAACTGGAAAGCAGCCTAAAGCATCAGTAATGCACGTGTTTAGCCGGAAAGAATAAAAATATCTCAAAATATTATATATAGTATTTGTGTATCAGCTTAGAATTAAGGATTCCGGGATTCAACTCAGAACAAGAGTAAATATACCTCAGTAGGATTAAACGTTTCCCAATCTTGTACCATTCGGTTTTTGTAGTGACGTTTGAAAGAATCATTTTTATTCAAGGCGTCAAGAGAAGACTCTTCACGTGTAAGAGAATCACTCCAAATATTGTCGATTGTTCCGTTTTCGCCAGCAATTGTTTTGAACACAAGAATCCAACCTATACATAGATATGTGCTGGATAATACATTCATGCATATTAATTTTGAAACGCAATAAAATTGGTAAACACGCATTAAATACATATCGCTGTTTTCCATATCGCAATTAATATACTGGAAATGGTTGATCGATAGCTATAAAAAACGCACAGTATTGGATGCCTCAAGCCGATCTTCCTTCTTATTCAGTCCCACAGATAAATATTGGTAGCTGATTTATAATGACTTTATGCAGACGGTAGACCACCTAATCATGCATGTAGTCGGTTATCGAAAATAATTTAAAGCCCCGTTTACACTTCAGTCAATTTATGCACGGCACGGCTAAAATTGGTACACGTACCGAATCCGTGCCAATAAATCGAGTGTAGTGTAAACGAGGTTTTAAAGAAGCCGGAGTACCTCACTGAGTTGACGACGCGGTCATGAAATTATTACGACAAAATAAATTGCATTTCAAAGTGTTGCCTGTTGGCTTGACATACACGCGGCTACTTTTCAAAATGTGTGCATAGTGGCTGGTGTGCTCTTAAATCCCTACGTACCTGTTCCCAGAGTCATCCAGTATATCCCATCACGAATATCGTAATAAAACAAGTCTTACCTGTTGTAATTTGCCGGAACAGATTTCCATAAGTACCCACAAATACTATAATAATAAAAAAGTGAAAGAATGAAACGGATTTCACTTAAAAAAGACTGAATTCCAGGCATTATTTTTGGTTTGCTCGAGAAAATTGCACATAAAATCGCAGCAAAAATTGCAAGTATTGAAATAAAAGTCAGCAAGTGAGTCAGTAACTTGCTAACTTTTAGGACTTAACCCCCCCCCCACACTCCGCGGTCCGCGGTCCCTGTACTGGCCCTCTTCTACCACAAAATACATCTTGCTTAGAAACATTATCTGAAATGGCGGGAAAGAACTAGGACTAGTTGCCAAATACAACCACAGTGAAAACAACTTTTGTGTAGTTAAAATATCTCTTGAAATAATTGGGTTTTTAAATATATGTCACAACTATATAGTTCTTAAAACTGAACTATAGGCTAGAAGATTATTAAGATATAGAATTTCGATTAGTTTTAGAATAAGTGAAAAAAGATATAATTATATATAATCGATTAATACTGCAGGATGAATTTATATTTCGATTTTCGACAGCCCTTGTCACCCTTTTCTAAACCTCTCTCCTGAATAATTTCTCATGCTGATCACTGACAGACAGAAACGGCCGACACATACTGACGGAGAAACATACTGACAGACAGAAACCTCAATCCCTATGACACAGATCACAGATGAGACAGTTTCCGATACGGCCGATACCGGTCGGGCATTTCTCGGGGAGACACAGTACCCGTTCAGTGTCGGCTGTGTTCCGGAGTGAGTTCCGCATGCCTTTACACTCATTGCCGACCTGCAAATCCGTGAATATTAAGGCGGAAGCGAAAGGCTATGGTAGTACATAATGACTAATGTGAAATGAAATGTGAAATGCCTGTGAATGAAATGTTTCAATGTATACGTAATAAATAATTATCTACTCATTCTCATAGCCCAGAATTCCAGAAACGTTCTCGTTCTCGTGGCGCTCGCGCGTGTACGCAAGTCAACTAGACGCGCGAGGGCCACGAGAACTCTTAAACCTAACGCATATATTTTTTACAAAAAAACAACCATTTACCGTTTGTTTTTAAAATTTAGGCGCAAAAATGGAGATCGATAGAGCTAGCTTTAAAATATTAACATTTTTCGTCTTTCGAACACCTTTTTCCCTTACTTTAGAGTCAAAATACACTTGCCAGAGCAATTTGCGTGGGGCGTGGAATGGCGTAGGTAGGGGGACAGCAACACCAAAGGCACAGAGCATACAGAGGTTTGACTGTACCCCTGGCTTAGCCAGTGCGCTTAAGAGAGGCCTTCTCCCTCCGGGAAAGCATGCATATGGCGGCGGCTTGAACACATCATGGAATTTAAACAGCCGAGACAGAACTATCTGGTAAAAAGCAAATTCCGAACAAACAAGACATCTTGAGAATCAAAATATAATTCAAACAAGACACAGATTGAGACTGTAAATTTTCGACTTTATTACAAAGTCATCTTCAGACAGAATGAAATACAATACTTTACAACGCATATATATACAACACAGAGAGAGAGCGCACGTGTCAATCCAGCATGTAGGCGGAAGGCCGGTAAACCAAGCAGAGCGAAACATGATAAGGTTGTGAATAAAACTAAATATGTATGCTATATTTACAACAATATGTTAGATAGATTAATTTAAGGAAAGAAAGAAAGACCCGACAATTAAAATAGAGAGATTAAGTGAACAGTTGTAGTTCTTTGCTGGCTTTAAGTCCAGTGTTAAGGAAAGGTTTGTTGTGTTTGATTAAGAGTGCTTCAAGAAAGGCGAGAATATGATAGTTATTCGATTTAGTTATGTGTAGGATTCTATAGTTATTGAAAACTAAGTTCTCAATAGGAGAAGGGTTATTCAAAGATAATGGTATATCGTTGAGTAGTGAGAACTGGTTTTGTAGTGTGGCCAGGATTCTCACAACGAAATTGATGAATTCCTCAAAAATTTCTAAAAATTTCCCCAGATTTCCGAAGAATTCCTGAGACACAAATAACGTAGTATAAATAGTCAGGATATAGTATAACACAAGTATAGCTATTGAAAGAGCAGTGCATTTTTGTTTGACAACCAAACGTCCTACATTGCTATATAGCTCTCACGATCATTCACGCGCTCGGTCGTTTTCTCGTGAGATGTGACGGTTACGCCAGTCTTCGTGATCTGCAATTTAGTATACTCCTTGTTCCTTTATCTGCATTTTATTTATTTTGTCCGCATTTTATTCTTTTTGTCCGCATTTTATTCTTTTTGTCCGCATTTTATTCTTTTTGTCCGCATTTTATTCTTTTTGTCCGCATTTTATTCTTTTTGTCCGCATTTTATTCTTTTTGTCCGCATTTATTTTTTTGTCCGCATTTTATTCTTTTTGTCCCATTTTATTCTTTTTGTCTGCATTTTATTCTTTTTGTCCGCATTTTATTCTTTTTGTCCGCATTTTATTCTTTTTGTCCGCATTTTATTCTTTTTGTCCGCAATCCGCATTTTATTCTTTTTGTCCGCAATCCGCATTTTATTCTTTTTGTCCGTCCGTCCGCCTATCCGTCCGTCCGTCCGGATCCGCATTTTATCCCAACCCGTGTCAACTAAGCCTTCCGATAACTTAAGTGTCAATTAAGCCTTCCGATATTTCCGGTGTTTTAACAAAGTTTAATAGTTTCGATCCTAACCTCAATTTCACAGTTGACCTTCCGATAACTTAAGTGTCAATTAAGCCTTCCGATATTTCCGGTGTTTTAACAAAGTTTAATAGTTTCGATCCTAACCTCAATTTCACAGTTGACACTTTTCCCGATGGTATCGCACATTTTTTAGATATAAAAATCACGGTCGATGGTACTGACGTTTATCGTAAAGACACTCACACTGGTCAGTACACACATTTTTCTAGTTTCGAGCCATTCTACCGCAAAACAGCTTGGGTGAAATCCCTTTACCACCGTGCTTTTAAAATTTGTAGTTCGGAAAAGCTTTTCAATAGTCAAATTAAAATCATCAAATCTTTCATGTCTTGGAATGGTTATCCTAATAATGTTATATACTCTACGCTAAATAAACTCAAAACTAAGTATTTTCCAAATTCCACTCCTGTTGTCAATACGGTTATTCATGAAGCGGATGATAATCTATTGCCCAAAATCTGGATCCGTATACCTTATCTCGGAAATCGGGGCGATTTTCTACTTAAATCATGTCTCAATAAAATACAAAGATTTCTTTCCAAACCGGTGAAATTCGTCACTATTTACGACACTAAAAGGTTGTCTTATTTTGTTTCTAACAAAGACAAACTTCCTTCTTTATCTCGTAGCAATTTAGTGTACGAAGTCGCTTGCCCTGGCTGCGGGAAAACCTATATTGGCATGACGCAAAGGTGCCTTTCTGTACGTTTGAAAGAGCATTCCACTAGGCTCTCTTCTAGTGCAGTAGGCCAACATTTCTCTGAGTGTGAGCATGCTCAATTCTTAGCCACACTACAAAACCAGTTCTCACTACTCAACGATATACCATTATCTTTGAATAACCCTTCTCCTATTGAGAACTTAGTTTTCAATAACTATAGAATTCTACACATAACTAAATCGAATAACTATCATATTCTCGCCTTTCTTGAAGCACTCTTAATCAAACACAACAAACCTTTCCTTAACACTGGACTTAAAGCCAGCAAAGAACTACAACTGTTCACTTAATCTCTCTATTTTAATTGTCGGGTCTTTCTTTCTTTCCTTAAATTAATCTATCTAACATATTGTTGTAAATATAGCATACATATTTAGTTTTATTCACAACCTTATCATGTTTCGCTCTGCTTGGTTTACCGGCCTTCCGCCTACATGCTGGATTGACACGTGCGCTCTCTCTCTGTGTTGTATATATATGCGTTGTAAAGTATTGTATTTCATTCTGTCTGAAGATGACTTTGTAATAAAGTCGAAAATTTACAGTCTCAATCTGTGTCTTGTTTGAATTATATTTTGATTCTCAAGATGTCTTGTTTGTTCGGAATTTGCTTTTTACTTTACTTTCTTAAATTGTCGGCTGGTCATGGTTTTTAGAACTATCTGGAGAAATCGTATTTTTGACAAAAACATTGCTCAATTTTTTTCTCAAAACCAGATTTTGTTAGTTCTTATCCTTTAAAAGAGTAATGGGAGCGATCTGTTTATTTATATAGCGATGGCCATTTATAATGTTCGGGGGGGATAGCCTCTCTTTAGCGCACTGGCTAACAACATTGCCGCTAGGAACGCATAATTAATGCAAGGTCAAACTCTGTATGCTCTGTGTCTGTATCTCTGTGCCAAAGGGTTCCGCCCACTGGTTCCGCCGCGAGTTCCATAACTGTGTATCTTAAACTGTGACGAAACTGTCGAAGCATTTCTGGGCTGCTATGATCTAGTGGATCATCTAGATCTACTCAGCCTTTTGTAGCAAATGATATTGATTGTGCCTCTGTTGTTTCGTTTCTGTTGACAAAAAATACAACTCTAAAATACTTGATTAAATTAAATTCGGGAATATGGCAACGGCAGTCGAAACCCCGGAAGTGAGTGTAACTGGTCAACTTGTTCCCTTGAAAGAGATTGATAGAATAAGAAATGCTGTTTGCTTGTTGAAATCAAATACCAAAGACCAAAGGTTTGTATTAAAAATTAATGTCTAAATACATTTCAATTTTTGTAATTAGTACTATTGATAAAATTTACTACTTCATAAATCGATGATCTGGGCTTAGGTAAAGGTACCAAATTTTGATATTGGAAAACTATTCTTTGAAAGACTATTGAATGTTTTCTATCAAATTAATTATCCAATATATATATAGTGCAGTTTTGTGTGCGATGCAACATGTTAATTATTAGCAGTTGGCATGATACTCATTCTTTTTATTTCCATCAATTTGTAGCAAGTCATGGAGTGCTTCTGGATTTTATGTAAAGGTGAAACTAAAAAAAGAAGAAATTCATTGCATCATGACAAATTTTCATGTATTTCAAAAGAAACAGGAAAATAGCGATGATATGGTGGCTGTGTTTCATCATGAGTCAACTGAAAGCGAATCTTTGGAACTTCTCCTTGTGCCGTTCAGATTATTTGCGTCAAGCATGGTTGGTATCACAGGTCTTATCACAGGAATTCAGGGCATTAACTTAATGTCAAACAACATGAACTCTAGCTCTAAGTAACTCTAGGTGCACCCTACCTCATGGCAGTAATTAGGAATGTAATCTGTAAACAATGTAAATTTTCCTACATGCACGCAAGTGTATTCACTGCTTTTGTTGATTAGGACAAAATGTGCAGCTCATGTTTGAAACCATATTTCAAACTCTTATTTCCATCTTACAAACTCATTACTAATTCAATTAAGGTACTGGACTATGTATTGATTCGAGTCAGAGAAAGCGACATGAAATCCATAGGGGTGAAACCAATACTGGCTGATAGCAGTAGATTACCAGATGTCCAGGGTGGTAATATAGTGTGCATTATTCAACATCCAGGAGGGATGGAAAAGCATTATAGTCATGACAAAGTCAAGCGTGTTAACAAACCATTTATAGAATACAATGCTGATACATGCGATGGATCTTCTGGATCACCTGTCTGTATCTTAGTTGATTCAAAATTGTTATTGATTGCATTGCATAGCTCTGGTTTTACTAATGATAGAGCTAATAACCCAAGTGCTAATTGGAATAAAGGCGTGCTTCTTTCAGCTATATTGCATCATCTTCTCACTGGAGTAGGTAAGGTTATGTAAAAGGTTATAGGTTAAAAAAGGTTATAGGTAAAAGGTTAAGGTTATATAGATAAGGTTATAAAATAAAAGCATTATAGACCAGCATGGCCTTACATAAGTAACAATTCTTAAACTTATCAATCATACATAACCCTTCTTAAACTTATCAATGTTCCAATAGAAAAATTAAGAAGGTTGATTGTATGGAGATTACAGTACAATCATCATACCAATTAGTTATAGGTAATCAGACAAATCCATACAGTCTTTTTAGTCAAGTAGGATTTTCAAAATTGGGGTGCTGTGTCAAGAATGCAATTCAACTGGTTTTGCAGTGATAGAAATATCAATACCACAGTTCCAATAGCATTTAACATATCTGATGCTTGTCAGGTTCTGCAATATTTGTGCCATAATATTAATCCTATAGTTTACAGCGAAATGCTTCAGCTACAGTTAATCACCCAGTGCATGTCCATGCAGTCGTTCTGATCATTGTGAATGTTATTAAGGCCAGTTTGCACTTGCAATTTTTGTTGTGATTTAATTTATATGTTCAGATACGAGTTCATACACAGTAGACCATTCGTAACTTATTACTCACATATACTAAAAAAAGATAATTGCACTAAAAATTGCAAGTGTAAACAAGCCTTTAGTAAAGGTATAATGACCAAAGATTTCATTGTCTTGTAGTTCCAGAGCTTCCTACGCCCACACCTGGTGTTCCAGATCAAATGGAGAGTGGTAGTTTGACTGTCGGAGGTAGATAGTTATATCTTGATGTTTATCATTTTGCAAAAAACTGTGTGAGCTACATCAATATATGATATTTAAGATATTTTGATACACATAAATATATGTTTGTGCAGTTTTGGTCGAGATTTATTAAAATTACCCTAACTTTCCATGTGATATTAACGTTGGTCTTAATATTTCAAGCAGATCATAGACTCCCTTTTTTCTCCCATTCTTTACGTTTACCTATTTTGCCTGCGTGTGTAGTGTAGTAAAATGTGTTGTATAGTAAAGTGCTGTATAGTAAAATATTGCCTTTGTTGTTGTATCAGTGTCAGTTGCTTTTTTTTTAAATGTTGTTTAATGATAGATTTTCTTCAAGGTAAGAAAGATCCTGCTAACAGAGTCACAAGAGATGATATTGTTTGCATAGCTCACGATATCAGCGGAGAGTGGAAGCAGCTTGGCAGAGCACTTGGACATTCGGACAGCACTTTAAAAATCATTGACGCAGATAATGATAAAATGTACGATAAATGCTATGAAATGTTAATCAAATGGACCTATAAAATGGTGTCAAAAGCAACCTATGAGAATCTAGAGGCAGGCTTCTCTCACCCAACTGTAAATAGGTTCGACTTGGTTGAGAAGTACTGTTAAAATGTATGTGTAGTAATAGTAGTAGTTAGCATTGTTAACCTCCCCTCCACGGGGAGCAGACTGGCCTTCCCTCCCAGGGAGCAAAACAGTCTAAAAAACGCCAAACAGCCGTCTAAAAAAAGAACGCCAAACTGAAACAGTCTAAAAAAAGAACGGGCATGTGTTGTTGAGTGTTTTCTAGGTCTCTTAGCAGGTTTATGTTTTATACCGTGTTTATGAGCTTGTAATCGTTGGTATTTTTAAAAAAGAATCACAAGTATAATCAGCCAGAGTTGTGTTCTCATCTGTGGCAAGAAAGACGCTACATATGAAATTCGAACTTCTAAGAATTAATTTTACTCGGTGATAGCAAGAATATAAGTATTTGCTTGGTAGTAATTTTTTTTGCAAATCTTTTGGTCAGTCCCCGAATCTTTGTACCAGTGCATGCAACAAGCAATTTATCTAATTTTTATGATAAATGAAATTGGGAGTAATACATGGATGCGTGGAAGTATGGAATTATTTCGATTAATTAGTGTTTTTATTATAAAGAACTTTTTAATTTTTTTTATGTAGAAATGAAATATTAAAATCCGATGAAATTCCATGTTAGTTGCTCTGACTAAAGTGAACTCAGGGTTAAAACGTTGCGAAGTGAGTAAGAATTTGACATCACCTTGGACCACAAATAATATAGATACAGAGCTGAAACTACCAGGGGCAGGAATAAACGGCACAGTGCCGTTATTCAAATTCTGTACATGCATGCGCGTATCCACCAGTCATTGGTATCACAGTTAGAATATGCATGGTTTGGAGAGTGGAGACAATACCACTCATTAACTATGTTATTGTCTAGGTTTATGCAGAAAATGGTTCTTTTCTCGTCACGTGTCTGTTGTATTTTAGCCAAATTTACCAATGGCTTCCGTCTTACCACAGCTCATAGTCTTGCTAAGCTCAACCTTGACTTGAAAAATGTGTCAATTATAAGATTACTATTGGTTTATCTGTGGCACAGACTGTGCAAACACTACCAATAGACATGTGATGAGAAAGGAACATCAACAATTTTTTGCTATGTGGTCTCCAAACCATGTATATTCTATTAACTGTGCTGGTATCCACACGTTCCACCTCTATATAAATAATATAACTGTCTGCTCCGTTGTACTGGTCTGCTCTGTGTAAAATGTAAATCCTATTTCAGAATATTATTATTATTATTTAATATTATTTAACAAGTTTATTCATGTTCCGGTATTTTCATCTACAGAATCTACCAGAAGTATTCATAAACTATTTTTTGACAAATAAGCAAATTCATAATCATAACACAAGAAATTCTTCATTGATACACAAAAAGAATAATAGAACAAACTATACCAAACATACCCTTGCCAATAAAGGCATAGAAGTATGGAATAATCTTCCCACAAAATATAAAGAACCTAGGTCTTATGCTTCCTTCAAATCAATAATAAAAAAGTACTTTTTACAACTAGATTTAACAATATAACATGTTTTTGTAAATATAATTATGTATATGTATGTATGTGTATGTATGTATGTGTATGTATGTGTATGTATGAATGTATGTATGTATTTATATGTATCATAAAATACTTCTTTTCTTTTCCTTATTATCTGAAAAACACTTGAACTGACACGAGCTTAAATTTATTGATATAGCTTAATAAACCTAGGGGCCTAAAGCAAAAGCCATGTGGTTTCTAGTAGGCTCCTAGCCCATTTCTTGTATATATCTATTCTTTGTAAATGTCATATTTTTTGTTGTTGGGCGAATTAAATAAATAAAAAAAAATATATATATTTCAGTGATTCCCGGTCATTCCCCCCTATATTTTCCCGCCCCTATTTAGTCTGCGGCAGGCGATGAGCACTAAGCAGGTCAGATGAGGTCTTGCATGTCGGCCAGGAATAACTATTGTACCGGACCATGGTAAAATATGGTGAAGTAGTCATAATTTTAGAGTGTAGTTCTCTTCGTAGAGTAGGGTATATAGCCGAAGACAAATAGCTATGGAAATATCGGCAAGTCAACAAATCATTTCGTCATGTTCAGGGGCAATTCTCACATCATTGCTCAGTAAGTATATACTAAGTATGGCTGATTTTATCAAACATACCTATTATTAATGCTCACAAATAACAAATGTAAATTTCTGAAGATTTGCTTGCCTTAGCTTTATGAGTCATAGGGTATTTGTTTGTAGTAGTGTTAGCTTTAACCTTAAATACTTTATACATGCGCTTTTTTGTTACCCCACAGTTACAGTGTGTACTATACCCCAGACTGGAAAGTATGCAAATTGCGCAACCGAGATTTAAAAAAATCACTAGTAAATATATGGGAGACATCAAATTGCACGCCCAATATCTCGGTTGCGCGAAACAAACATTCCACACTGGAATATACCATAATTGACAAAATTGACAGTACAGCAGGTGCAACCATTTCTGGTTGCATCTGTGCTTATCCAGTAAAAGTTGAAGAGTGCAAAACTGGCCAGTAAACTGTTCAATTTTTGTGTTTGATAATCAGGAAGAAATGTTGCCCAACTTTGACTGTGTGCCAATAGGTATATACTACTGGCTTGGGTCCATTGTAGATCAACGTTGAAATTAGAGCTATATGTTCACCATTAATTAGAAAATGAAAACTTATAACAAATTAGAATACCATTGTGTTAACTTTTTCTCAAGAAAATTTTACTATATACAGTTAAAAAGATCACTCATGACTTTATTAGTGTATTTCCATCTTTTAAAAGAAATTAAGACTAGTTGTAGGCTGGTACTGTAATCATTTTTATAATCACATACAGTAGATGCCTAAAATATTTGCTTAAGGTAAAGAATTCCTGTCTATATACCTACTGTAGTATTTCAAAAGGGGTAGGAGAAAAGAACTACTTCCATTCCTCTAATAAGTTGCTGAGTTTTGTAATTATGATCACAGTTTTAGTTACAACTTCACACAAATAGATTCGCTGATTTCCACAGGAAGCATGGGAATAATAAGATGTAGTAAAATGTTTTCTTTGCTAAAATCCCATTGCTATTGAATTTGTTGCAAAAAAAATGAATTATTTATTGTTTTTAGTGACTCCTTTTGATGTGATCAAAGTAAGATTGCAGGCACAAGCTCGTAGTGCAAGTGGAAGTACAGGTAAGATTTAATACAGTGGGCGAAGCAAAAAGTACCACAACTGGTTACAAGTACTAAGAATATTGGTGAAAGTTTCAACAATATTTTGTAATATATTTTAGAACGATGTATGATTTGTTTCAATGGGCTGATGGATCATGTTTATTTTTGTCCAACTGGTAAATACTCAGTATGCCCGAATGCGAACAAGAATTTTACGTCGACATGGGTAAGAGAAGAAAAAATTATGGTTTTCACAGAACTGGAAATAGTTTTCTACACAAATTTAACTTGAATAGTGTTAAATTGTTCCAAAAGATCCTATTTATTAGCTCATCTTAATTAGCAGGACAACACTCTTCAGGTTGTGTCATGGTTAGCATATGACTATAATACATTTAACTTCATATATTTCTCTTCAAAAGGATGCATTAGTGCGAATTGTGAGATATGAAGGTGTATCAGCTTTGTGGGGTGGTTTACCAGCAGCTTTGTAAGTTCATGTTCATTGTACCAGTATTATCCAGTTTCCACTAAGTACTGTGCTGAAAAAATCCAAATTTTTAATTTCAGGGTAATGTCTGTTCCTGCAACTATAATATATTTTACTGCCTATGATCAGCTGAAAGTCATGTATGGTTTCAAACAAGGGGAGAGGAATATTTACTCGCCAATGTTATCTGGAATTACCGCAAGAGGTGTGATTTGAATACAGCAGTGGTTTTTAGTTTTTACAAATCATTCTTATTTCCATGGACCTGCAGGAAAATCAAAATCAACTTGTTTCAAGGGCTATTAATTTACTTGAGTTGAGTTTAAGACTCTGACTCGAAATTAAGATGTAGAATGATTTTGATTATGAAAACAAGTGTTCTTGGAACTAAATGAGCACATGAAGTGACCACACTATTAGTATATTACATTCCAGGATCATGTTAATTCATTACCTCAGATGGGTAAAGGGGATCATTTAAACATTCCTAAATTGACCTAACAACAAATTTGTCTGTTCCTTAGCTATTGCCTCCAGTTTCGTATCTCCAATTGAAATGTTGCGCGTAAAATTACAATCTAAGAAAGAATTTAAATATAGAGGTTTGTATGCTTGAAACTATTTTATATCATATCTAGTCAGTAATTATTTTCTACTATATTGTCTCAGCATCACCTTGAAGCTATAAGTTTATCCTCCTTGCATTATTTCCCCCCATTTATATCTATAGGTAGACACTTGGAATTTGGGTTAGGATTAGTTTTAGGTACCAATAATCCCATTTTCATTCGATCCGAAATACACAAATTTAATTATTGAGATTAGGTTAGGATTAGGGTTAGTCCTAATCACCATAATTTTAATGTAAAAACTAATCCTAACCATAATCTATATTCCTTGAGTATTTAATTCGTGAATTTAGGATTTACTGAATATGGAATTATTACCCAGTGAACATAGGTTTTCTTAAGTCCAAGTGCCCGTAATTCCTTCCTGAGGATGTCGTCCAACGCGATCACATCCGGTGCTTGCTCCAATTTTCCTGGCCAGTAACTCAGCTTGCAAGCGTTGGACTTTTTCCATGGTCTACTCTACTGAACAGCGTATTTTTCTGGTCATTTTCCTTGTTTCTTTATAACACAAAAAGTACGCTTAGATGGGTTTCTCTTTAAGTTGACGCATCACGAAACACAAAATGAAAGAAAAGCATGCGAACAATTCCTCCTAGAGGAAAACCGCCTTTATCTGGAATTCATTAATACTAATTTAATTTCACTTTCGTTTTTGTTAATAATTGTTTGAATGTTTATTAATCTAGGACTGGTAAGATAGATTTATTTTGTACTGAAAAGATATTCTCGAAATCAACTCTCTCGCAATATTTAGAACTTGGTAGCGTTGTCAGAACAGCTGTAAGGCAGGGTGGAGTTCGTTCCCTATGGCAAGGGCTGGGCCCTTCACTGCTTAGAGATATACCTTTTTCAGGTATTGTGAGATGTTCAGTCTTTTTTTCTATCACAATATATTCCCCTCTAATTAAGTTGTGTTCTTGGAACCAGATTAATACGTGTTCATTTGGTTCCGAAACTATACGCGATTAATCAAATCTCAATCAAGCCTGGTTTTTATTCAGTGATAATTGTCGTGAACAAGTCATCTTCACCGATGAGAAATAATCCGGATGTGAATCTCTCCTTATTTCTGTATTCAAATCGCCACTGTTGATTTCACACACATATATAGAAATATTCTATCACATCAGCCACCTTGACTTGTTCACGACACGAAGTAAATGGAACCAGGCCTAATGGCTTTTGCAAACGGCAGAATTCAATTTTGGGGGCATTTTCTCCATTCGTTTCCTTGTTTGCACTTCGTCATTTTGCGGTACGTCTCTTTTAAGCCTGCATGGGGCAAATACCCGTGTACCATTTGCTCGACGATATTAAAACTGTGTATTTTTTATACAGCTTTGTATTGGTTTGGTTATGAATACTTACGAGCACAACAGAAAGACCCGTCACTTCAACACATATGTCTGTCTGGAGGTACCTCAGGAGCAGTAAGTATATTTATGGAAATATGAAACGTGTAACTTGTTGAACGCAAAACACTGTGACATGATTATCTACGAACATGCAAATAAGCCAGGCTGTTTGTTCTGTGTAGATCGCTGGTATTCTGACGCTTCCCTTCGATGTTGTAAAGACTCATCGTCAGATAGAACTTGGTGAAAGCAATTTTGGTAAGTTGTTTAATCACAATTTCTTTGTTTTTTCCCAGTCCACCATGATTATGCCACCGCTCGAAGACGTGATCTTGCGAATGAACACGAGAAATACCTTGTCACATCTTAAAATTGTAAATGCGATAGCCCTCCATCCCAGCGAAGGTCCCCTTTAGGTGCTAATATTAGCAAAATAACCATGTTGAGAAGATACCCCAAAATACTAATACTAGAGCAGGTTGTATGGAAGCCGGATAGCGGTTGTTTGTTGTTGTCGGTATATATAATTGCCTGTTGTTCGTTATAGCCCGCTTAAACCTTAGTACTTCTAAATTGAGGATTCCTTCAAGAATTTTTAGCTCCAAATCTGTAGTTTCATTTCTTTTTTGGCATTTTTACAACGGTTGAAAAAATCACGTTGGATAGCGCTGTCCAGCTTTCATACAACCTGATACAACTGACCCCAGGAAATTAAGTCGTAGTAGTCGTAAAACAAAATTTACTACAGAGTACAGACATCCTACAAACTTCCACATCTTTGAATAACCAATTTCCGTTTTTCTTCATGTCCCTTTTTGTTCATGCCCCCCCCCCTCACGATTGTTCCTTGGCCCCTTGGCGATTTTCTATTCACGTGCTAATTTGGTTTAATTTTAAGATCCGACAAAGAGATATCCTTCCACGTTTTCATTGTTGCTTAAACTTCGGAAGGAGCAAGGAACTGGTGCTTTATTCACAGGTTAATCAATTTGCTAATTTCAGTGAATATTTATGTTTTGACATTTCGTTACTGTGTAGGTAATAGGTTAATGGGTTTTACATTTTATTGGGTTGTTAGCATTTGAAAACTAACCCCAGGAAGACTTTCAAGCGTATTTGTTGTCCTTGTTTTTGAAAGTCTTGCACATGCAGCCAGAATTCACTGAAAAATTTTCCAAATTTTGGCGGGAAAACTTACTTAAAAGGATATGGCAATAAAAATTATTTCTGTTTTGCGTAAAAGAAAATTTACACTTCTTATGAAGCCTTTTTACAAAATTTGTTTATCTTCCTTACTTCGCAAGATATTGGCGATCAAAAACATCGGATATCGAGATATATCCGCCATCTTGTTTTATAATGAAATCTAATTACGTGACGTCAAAAGCAGGGTTGCGATTCTAATACCATGGAACTATTACTTCGCCGGGTCGTTAATTTGAAGTTACAAAACGAATTTGCACCCAGCTTAAATATCTTGAGAAGTAATAAAGTTAACAAAAATCCGTAAACGAATTTTGTAAATAATCATGACGTTGTTTTAAAATAGACAAAAAAGATAATTTTTAAATTTTTTATTGTCGTATGCCTTTAAACTCACCTTTCAAAGCCACTGAGCTATATAATAACTTCTGGAGGAAATGACCAAAAAGTGAACAAGTCAGGACTCCAAGAATTGTTATATCAGCTTAGTGTTCAAAGCTCACTAATTTTATAATGGGGTCTGTTAATTTTAATATTACATAATAGACCTTTCTCATAATGATGCAATACTTTGTGTATCATCAAGCTTTCCGTGTTTGGCGTGTCGTTACTAGCTATAGCCTGGCACCCAGGCGCTTTACGTCTATATAATTAATGATTATTTCTGAATGGAATGTTGCAAACATATGTTTTCAACTAACAAGCGCGTGGGTAAGTTGGTTGAAGTTTACGAAGTTACTATTTCAGTGTGTTTTATGTTTAGGGATAACAGCTCGGGTCGCTAAAGTTGCCCCGGCATGTGCTATAATGATTACCTCATATGAATATGGGAAAGCCTTCTTCAGGAAGAGAAACGAAGTTGCAACTGCAAAGCAGATATATGGCTAGTTAGAAATATAATTTATATTTAGGTAGAATGGATGCTATAACGGCCATCCTGCAAAAACAATATACAATTCAAAGGCAACATGACAGGTTATCTCACTATAGAGTTTTTATGCACAAGTTATACTTTTGTGTGTTTGTTGAGTTTGAAATTACAACCAGACAACAGCAGTTGCGGACAAAGTAGTTAACAAATATGTACAAAGTGCAGAATGTGACTTTACTCTGAATTTTGAACACTATTTCATTTTGTATTGTGCATAACTCAATTTGAAACAAATTTCAATGAATTAGAACATGTAACCAGTGACCCAAGCACAATAAACTATGTATATGTGTTGAAAGGTACAAGAATTTAGTACTCAATACAGATATCCTAATATACCTTTCAACACATATACATAGTTTATTGTGCTTGGGTCACTGGTTCACATAAGCTTAGAGATGGGTGAAATTCAACTGGTTAATATAAGCTTAGAGATGGGTGAAATTCAACCTGCAACAGTGCAACCAACAAATTCATCTTTTTTTGTGCAGTAATATCCAAAATATTTCAATATGCCAACATGCAGAATAGATTCACTCCTTCTCTTGGTCGCTGACGATGGATAGGACACATGGATGCAGTCTTCAATGAAGAGGTACAGTATATGGTTTTAAAAACTCTTCATTACTCACAATGTAAAAGCTGATTAGCAGCTTGAGTGAGTTCATCAAGGTTTGGTTTTTTTGGTGTGATAAACGGTGGGTGACAGTCAAATTCTTTGAACAGTTCAGATGGAGCTCGACAAACAAATTCAATACAGTCCATGGAACGAGGTGCATCTTCATCAGGACCTTTTAGGAATTACAGAGTTAGGACCTGTTTATCATTTTGTCTGATATGTTACGACACGGTTCATGATGACGGGGTTTGAAATAAGGATTTCTGAATTGGGATAAAAATTTTGTGAAAATCACATTGTTTGGCTGGAATACTAACCTGGTATGAAATACATTGGATCAAAGTTGGCTGGATTTGCTACAGTTGGTATCAGCCATGATATAACAGTACTCTTTTTTGCATACTGATCTTCCAGAAAACCACGTGTTTGAGCAAAATAAATAGTTCCATCAATATCTTGTAATGATACTATATCGCCAACTTGGTAGAGAATTCCCTGCACGAGGTAGAGAGAATGGAAGAATGGCCACAAAATTTATACATCTCAACACAAAGTACACTATCACAAGGCTTGTGACTAGCATAAGGCTTGAGAACCAAGTTGTAGCATGAGCTTTGGTCATGATTTAATTGCTATATTTGTGACTAACCTTGTAAAATAAGCTATCTGATGCAACAACAGTGGCTTCAACAACTGGCGACCTTTGAGGCTAAATAGATGGAGAAAATTATACAACTGTATTAAAATTTCAAATGTATTTCATTGTGGTCTCACGACAGAATCCATCAAATTCCTAGGAAACACGGCAAACACCTATTATAATATCAATTCTTTCATATAGCAGGTTGAAAATATATATTTGTACCTTTTTTTTAAATAATGTTCTTCTACTACGACTAGAAGTACTTTTTCCTGTTCGTTCACCATGCCTGCCATTACCACCTTTCCCTTTACTAGCTTTCCCTTTCAACGAGGCTTTACGGCCTTCTAATTTTGCAGTTGTTGCCCGTTGTGAACGTAAGAAAGAATTGACCCGTTTTAAATGGCAACCATTGCAAAGTGTTTCCCCATTCGCGCCTTTCCTCCACATCAGAGACTTATATATCTTGCATGCTGCACACTGAGGCTCCTCAGCCAGCGGCATTATACAAAAAAAACAATAAATTTGTCACAGTTTTCTTTTAACTTCTAAAAAAACAGTTAAAATTCGGCAAAAATGTTTTTTTTTTTTATTTTCTCAAATAATATTTTCACACTTTTGCGCCCAAAGGTCATATGACTCGCGGCTTGTGCTTATGTTTTACTTCATGTTGTGATTGTGAATGTTGTCGTACCCATGTTAGGTTAGGCTATCTATGTAAAAGCCTAGAAATAGAGATTATAACATTGAAATTGATAAAAACAAATTATTCAATAAGTTTATTAAATAAATCAACAAGTTAAGACTTGTAGATTATAAATACAGTAGATTTGAAGTCTCTCTGTTGTGGGGATACAGAAGGTGATGCTGTTGTGATGGTGAGTTTATGAATTCAATTTAATAAATCTATTATATATATATATATATAATATATATATATATATATTATATATATATATATATATATATATATATATATACAGTCGTTGTCAAAAAGGTCGTCATATTGAAATATATATAAATACGTAAATATCAGTCACGTGATTTTACTGCATACGTTAATTTTATGGGAAATCCGTGAAAATTTTTTAAAAATTTCATAAATATAATAGTAAGCTTAACCATATTGATAATAATAGAGAAACAAGACAAAAATGAGCGAAATAAACAATGTTTAATGCTCATGTGATTGATATTTATATATTTGTATATATATTGATAGGGACAACCTTTTTGATAACGACTGTATATATATATATAATTATATATATATATATATATATATATATATATATATATATATATATATTGTTTTCAATGATGGTACAACTATAGAATACCAGGCCAATAGTGCGTTGTGTTAAAGTCTTAAAGATCAGTTACAGGATCCATTTTGCCGATTTTCTATGATTTGCCAAGATTGTCAACCATATGAACTGTTCCATTTGAATTCAAATTTTTAGATTAATAATGTGGAAAATTGCGAAGGTTCAATCAACAAGAGATTTCAAGTTTTACCCATTGAAGTAATTGTCCATCAGATATTTGAATATCTTGACATCAAAGAAGTTTGTACTTGCAGACTTGTTTCAAAGAAATGGAACTATTATTCTATCACAAACTTGCAAAGCAGACATGAACTTGATTTTGCAGGGATGCCTGTGATATCTGATAGCGGATTGAATGCTATTTTAAGGATTGCTAGACAACTTAGGGTTGTTCGATTAGATGACTGCTGGACTTGCACAACTGAAGAGAATTTGTTTCTCCTTGCGAACAATTGCCCAAACCTTTCTATCCTGAGCGTTAGTCGATGTAAATATGTGACAGATGATGCCATAAAAAAGCTTTGTGAATGTTGTAAAAATCTGCAAGAACTGGATGTCAGTAACTGCTTTAAGGTAAGTAGGACAACGAGCTTTTATTCCTTCAAGTTAATAAAAAGTGGTCATTAAAAGGATGAAAGTATATATTTGGAAACAGAAAAATATTGTTTAAAGTAGCTATTACCAAATTAATGTGATTTAATTTTCAGAATAAGTGGAACAGCTGTTTTATTGTACATATTTTACATATTAGGTTTCTAATTCCGTTCGAGGTTCGACCAAGGAGGGCGCTTCCTAATTGTGACGTCACGGCTGAGATTTTTTGTGGCGTTTGCCTCGCTTTAGTGTTTTTGCATTTTGTTTGACTGCAGGATTTCGTGTCGCTTTTTGTTGTGTCTCCTAATTCCACTGCTCTCCGTTTTTACTGTTGTACTGATAGGACCGGGCATTTGGGTTTTTGTATTCGCCTGTTTATGTAAGATACTGTGACGTACCGCATTCAAATGTCAGTGAGGATTCGTATTAAAGCATCAGGAATCTATTTTGCAGTGTTTTAACGATGAGAAATCCAAACACAGAACGCACTTGCTAATCTTTGATTACTTCTAGTTGTAGTTTTATTCATTTACAGCCATTAAAGGTGAACATTGTTTATATATGCTTTGTATAGGTTTCTGACAAAGGACTTTCAAGTGTTACTTTGTCCAAGAATCTTCATAGTCTCAGTGTCAGAAGTTGCTATGGAGTGACAGACCGTAGCATTAAAAGAATAACTAGTCAATGTTTGAAATTGATGGTGCTGGATGTCAGCTGTTGTCCACGGGTCACTGATGTTGGTCTCCAACCTCTCCTGGAAAAACCATCTAAGCAATACATACGAATCAAATCATGCCAAAATGTACGCATTTTTTACCAAATAATTATAACCTAGAAATATACATGTTCTGCAGCTTATAATATAGGCACAGGACCAGCGCTAAACCGCTTAATGCCAGGTATATATTCATATCATAGCGTACACAGGAAATCAGTCGGGCATAAAACAGATATATAGAATATAGATATTCCTCCTTCCCCCCCCCTGGAGCTTCTAGCTCGGCCCGAAATAGGCAACAGAGGTAACAATGTTTTCACGTTAGGAATAAGGCAGATTGGTGACAGGGAAACTGGGACGTTGCCGCAACAAAAATAGATTTTTCCACAAAACTGTTTTCACGAGAAGTGAAAAACGAAACAATTTCAGGAGCATCGACAAAAGGTTTAATGAATCAGCAGCCAACCATTGCATGTATAAGTGGCTAGTTTTATCACATTCTAGAAAATGAGTAGAAATAATTTAAATATAGAAATAATTTTGCCTTATCCGTCTCAAGTAGTCTTAACCGGCTCAAGTGGCCTTATCAAGCTCAAGTAGAGTCTTAGGCAGTTAGGCTGGATTTCCACTTACAGAGAAATAGTTCGCTTGCGAAATATTTGCATATTTTCTTTAGAATTTTAACAGCATAAATAAATTATTTCAACATGACTGCTCTCAATTCAAAAGAAAATATGCAAATATTTCGCTTGTGAACTGTTTCTCTGTAAGTGGAAATCCACCCTTATCCATACGAAATTGGACGCGAATTCGTATAAACGACTCAAATTCACTGTCGCTGCCGTCGAGAGATGGCAGGAAGGTCGATGCTGGACACCAGTGTTTAATATAATGAGACTTGCAAACATACGAAAACTTCGCGACTGCAATTAGCCTTACAGGCTTATTTTAGTCGCGAACAAATGGAGCGTTTATACGACTGTTCCCGTCTTCGCGACTTATTTAATTAAGGGTTTATTTGAGCTTGTATAAATCGCCCTCGTGTTCTGCTGGTAACCTTCTGATCTTAAATCTCTACAGGTTTCCGTCGGTATGATTTCGAAGTTGGTAACAGCTGGTATTACCGTAAATGATATCTTCTGAAAAGACAATGTCGGTACTTTTAAAAAGTCATAGCATTGTTTCCCGAAGTAGTGAGATGAAAAAGGCTATACAGAGCTTGACCTTTGGCTTGGCGGATTAGGTAATTGAAATGTCTTTTCATCGAAATACCGTGTCATGGACTTCAGCTTTTGGTAGCTAAAATTATTGACACTGCATGCGATAATATCCAATTGACCCCTTGGCAATTGTTTGCCCAACCACTTGGTCTTGGGTCGGCAGTAACTCCACTAATATAACAAGAGAGCAGCATCTTCAAACAACTTCGCTTCAAATGTGGCATAACAACTGCCGAAAATAGACAAAACACTTCTCGACGTTTCAACCAAGGGGCGTTAAGGAGAGTTAGGGTGCCTTGCACTGTCGCGTGTTTTGCACGTATACGTACACCGGTACACGCACGCAAAAGTTTAAAACCTAAGTTGTTATATACTGATAAATTTCATTGCAGAAAGTACATTCCAAATCTTCAACAGAATCCAACCCTATGCATTTATTCAATTGTATAGATTTTATAAGTATTATTTAATTCAATTATTTTAAACTCAGTTTACGTGCGTGGAAAAAACCCGACAGTGCATGGAATGCAGCCCTAAGGCTGTGCGCACACGAGCGTCGTTTTCGAGCGTTTCAAAAGGGTCTTTCGAGTGGAATTATACACACTTCAGTACCCCTACCGACTTGCAATAGGACTTCGCTCGCTCGGAATACCAGCCCCTCGCCGCTCGCAGTGCCTCGATTCCAATGTGCTGCGTAAGAAAAGTCGTCATCGTCGTTTTGACGCCCTGCTCACACGATCGAAGGAAAAATATGCCAAATATGTTAATTAATTTATATTCAACTTCTAATCTTCTATTGTAAGTTGACGGTGTTTGAAACCGTTTTGTCATGAAAACGAATGTGAAAACGCTTGAAAACGTTACCGTGTGCACATAGTCTCAAGGATGCTTTCCAGTTAATGCATTGAAGATCCAAGCTTCGTTGCACGCTGTCATTTTGAATAAACTCAATGATTTTCATGGGTTATTAAGAATAAATTATAATTCCTATGATCTGTCGCCAAGCAACAAGAAACCACGTGATTAATTTTGACCAATCGCGTAAGTAGATTTAGGCCAATGCACGAAGATTGTATATTACTACATAATATATGTACTTGATGTCCAATGACAATGTATAATCGAAAATATTTCGATGCCAATCTGGCATCGATTACTTCCGGTGGTAGCCTGGTATCGAACGATTACTCAGTAGCTTGTAGTCACCCATAACTAGTTTCATGTGGTATTCACAGAATCATGTTTTATTAGGAGCGGTCTGAACCATCTGAATCATTCAATATCGAGGTTTAAAAATATTTTGCGCCTTCTAGCTATTTAAAGGATTCTAAGGCATACAAGACCGTTCTGTGAATAGTGAATACTAGAAGAATGACAGCAAACGGTACATCGACTAAATTCCTTGTGGGTATTATTTCGCAATATTTTATCGATCAGGCAGGCATGGCTATATTAGCTAAACGCTGTCCATCTGCGTCTTTTGTTTTGATAGAATGCACAGGTAGGTAATGGACCTTGTTACTTCTCTAATATTCTCCGCACTGTCTATAAATTGCCAATCGAATGGTTGGTGAAATCTGTGGTGAGATCATGGCCGACATGCAGCCGGGGCTAAACAAAGAAGGTCTGTTTCTGTTGGACCCAATTCACTTCTGGAGTATGGAACGCACTAAGCAATACTGCATTGGCTTTAGTTGATATGCTTGTACCTTCTGCTTCCTATATACGTTGCCGCAAGTCAACTATAAAATCAGAAGTGAAATCATCGATCAGAAGTGAATTGGATCCAACAATTTCGGATAGTGCTATGGTAATGTGATTAGGCGTGAAGCGGAAAATTTAACCGTGTTTAATGCCTGTTTTACACTAGCGATATTTTTCGCGCGAAGCGAATTTATTCCTTTGTATTTGAGCAATTCGTTCTAGGTGGTTGCAGTTGAGAGCTCTGAAACAAAAGTAAAATCACTAAAATGTCACTTCGCGCGAAAATTATAGCTAGTGGAAAACCGGCTTTAACCGGAATATTAACCCTTGTTCGTGACTAACCCGCATTTTCCGAAATCGCCCGAAATGCTCCCTAGCGCCTGCAGAGGAGGTAACAATGCGCCCATTTCTCCGCATTTATTTGAATGTGATTTGAGTAAATGAATTAGCCTGCCAGCGCTTCTCTGTTCCCAGGTTTCTCGCATAATTGGAAAGAGGATGCCTGAATGCCTGCCAGCTTAGAGATACATCCTCGTTTTCAGGTTTTTTGCGTACTGCGTGGCCATAAGCTCGATGAAATCGATGCCGACTTCGATGATTTGTTGGTTTGAGGGTTAACTTATTCCTAAGAACAAAAGTGGTGACTGCTGACTGACTGACTGCGAGATTACAGTTGTATAGTAAAGGGAGCAGCCCTTCGGAGGTTAATAAAAGCGGAAGTCGTGATGCTACGTCACATCACGCGACATATGTCCTTTGGACCTCAGCCGAATTAGTTTCTCTGTTGGTTTTGCCTACGTTTTTATCGCGTATTTTCACCCGTTGTTCCTATGAAACTTGCTATACAGGGTGTAAAAAAAGTACCCCCTATAAAATCAAGCTTTTGTTTGAATTTGAATGCCTTATTATTATGCCAAACTCACGATTACTTAACATGTAAAACGAGACGCTCAATTTGAATACCTTAACCTAATTACTATGCTATTAATCCTAAACCCCTCCAGGGGACACCTAACCAGTGCAAATGAAATGGTCAAAAGACAAAACACGATCATAACGTCTTGGACAAATGTTGATTTCTGTTAAATGTGTTATGTGTAATATGTGCGACCCCTATCAATAACGCTGTTTTCAAGTTCAATGGATGCTGGCTTTCCCACACTCTTTTCCAAACTGTAATAACATATGTTATACTTTTGACAAAACGAAAAGCCGAGTTAAATCCACGGGCGAATTGTTACTATATAATCTACTGTGGCCATTCAGAACTCCAGAACAATATATGCATCCATTAGACACAGTTCTGAATGATCCAGAACAGTCTAGTGCTCGTTAATAGGTACCGCTAGCGTGTGACATCTTTATTTGTTTTGGATGTCATTCGGTGATTTGGATCAAATTTCCCGTTTACAAATGAATAGTAACATGATCGTGCATTCGCTATATAGACAAATGCTTTGAAACATAAATTTGACATACTTGTCCTCATAATTTATTTACATACAGTAAATTATAACCCGATGGCGATGGTAACGTCTGTTAATAAATCACTATCACAATGTCTCTCGCCCTTTGGACCCGAGACACCAATGCATGCTTTTAATTACAGGGTGTCCGGTGTCTCAAAAAAATGTCCTTGAAATAAGCTTTTGTTGGAATTTGAATGCAGGGTTGGGATAAAACGCGGATCCGGAATTGCGGAAACGGAATGCGGAATTGCGGAAACGGAATGCGGAATTGCGGATGCGGAAACGGAATTGCGGAAACGGAATGCGGAATTGCGGAATTCTAGAATGTTAAATTTAATTTTAACATGTATAACAGAACTAAAGATATACAACAGAACTAAATTTCAATAGTGGAATAAACGTAGTCTTTCCATATTAAGAAATTTTATTATATGAACATGAGTGTTATATAGAGTTTTACGCCACCGAGAAAAATTGTATTTAAACACACGAAATTTTTACGATATTTTTACGTACAATATTCTTACGTAAAAATCAAACCAATCAAAAAATCTGTTGTAAAAAGCTCCAGTTTTTTAATTTATTTTTATAATTTGTTCATATAATAAACAGAATATTACATGGTTGCTTGGAAATACAGATTTATTTCTACTGTTGAAAAAAATATTTCGCACTCGTTCGCTGCTCTCACTCCCGAGCAACATTCAATCAAACTCTCTAAATAAATTGCATATTTCCAAGCAACCACATAATATTTTGCCATTTGTGGTACAAAGTAAGGCTGCTTTTTCCTTACACAATCCGTCCGGAACTATGTGTTTCGTGAGGGTTTTTTATAAACATTTATTCCAGTTGCTTTTAAACATTTTTATTAGTTTGACGCCGCATTCCGTTTCCATAATTCCGCATTCCGTTTCCGCAATTCCGCATTCCGTTTCCGCAATTCCGGATCCGCGTTTTATCCCAACCATTTGAATGCATGATCAACGCAGACGACAGTAGAAGTGTGTAAATAGTCGTTTCTTTTGAAATTTAACTGCTCCGTCACTACGCTAAGCCCTTGGATGCGTAAAATATTGCCAGCTTTGTGCATATATTACATATCTTTGACTTTGTCACAAGCACAAAAACCTTTCTGCTCCCGGCCCAGGGAATTTGACATAACTTTAAATTTTATTCCATTGGCATTGTGCATGTTTGTGCACCAGTGGACTTAGAAAATTATTAGGCATTTAAATTATAAAAATAGTTTGATTTCTAAAGGTCTTCTTTTTTTATACACCCTGTAGACCTGTCACTCGAACGTTTAAAGAATTTAGATATCCTGATTGCCGATCCAGACGATGTGTTTAAGTACATATGTCAGCTACCAAAGTTGAAATGGCTGCAGTCAACGTATGCTGGCGTTGAGAATGTGGTCAAACAGATGCGACAAGATAAGCCAACGTTTGTGGTCACAAGACTCGGTGGTGTTTTTGGACCTCACTTGGCTGAATATGTGATTGGTCATGTTATTGCACGGGAGAAGAAATTTTCACTTTCCAGAAAATGTCAACAGACCAGAACATGGTAAGGCTTACGCCCGCCGCACACGAGAGCTATTAGCTGAGGCTACTGACCTAATAAAGACTTCGCGTGGTTGTTAGCTCAGCAAGTTACTCTCTTGCAGATAAGTTTTCGTGAGGAATTCGCCCTGAGAGGCAAGTTTCTCACGTGTGCAGATGGTTTCGGACTGAGCTAACTGCCGCGCGAGGTCGTTAGCTCAGCTGATAGCTCTCGTGTGCGGCGGGCTTTAATCAGGGAGACAACAGCACGCGACAACTTCTTAATGTGCATGCATATAGGCTTGGACCAAAGTTGAAGCTAATTTGAGCATTTTACCCCTATTTTGACGTGTGAACAGGGCGTCAAAAGAATAAACGAGACACAATGGCGTAACTAGAAGTCTAGAACGATATTTCTTTGTTTAATAAATTCACATATATTCAGTTCTGTGTTACGGATTTCTTTTTTAAGTGCAATAGCTTACAATAGTAATTAATTAGATACATGTGGTTTATCCGAGATCATAGTGAATTTGGTAAAAGCAAACTAGGTCTGGGAAATACGTCTATTCCTGATAAAAAATCTTTTGGTCTTTCAGGGGTGCGTATGAGACATTTATGTATCGTCCGCTTTCCGAACTTACGATTGGAATACTTGGTTTTGGTGACATTGGTAAGGAAATTGCTAAATGCTGCAAGTCAATGAAGATGACGGTTAACATTGTTCATCGCACTGTTCCTGCTACCAAATGTTCTTTCGTGGATCAAAGCTTCTCAACTGAAGAATTGCCTGAGTTTTTGCAACAATGTGATTACATATGCAATGTATTGCCCAGTACACCGAGTACAAGAGGTCTTCTTTCTGGCAATATTTTGGAAAATTGTAAAGAGAGAAAGGCGGTACTTATAAACATTGGTCGTGGGGATGTGATAAGCTGTGATAGTATTTTGAATGCATTAAATAATCAATGGATTAGTTGCGCCATTTTGGATGTGTTTAAAGAAGAGCCTCTTCCAAATGATAGCGCATTGTGGACTCATCCCCAGGTCACTATTACACCTCATATTGCTGGATTGAATAAAACAAACCAGGTAAATGTTGTATTTATATTTGTATTCAGTGTAGTATTATTATATGTACGTCAGTTTGTTTGTATGTATGCGTACTATAAATGTTATATTATAATATATTATAATTAATATATGTCTTGTGGTATAAATTCCGACAGATATATCTTTGAATTGTATAGATATTCCCTTATTTGTACATTATTTACAATTTGTAGGTGATTGATTCTTTCATGAGGAATTTTGAGCTTTTCAAAGAGGAAAAACCGATGAAATATGTCGTGGATTGGAACAAAGGATACTAAAGAGTAATTTATATCCCGTCAATATAGCCGCATGGAAGGGAATCTATAGGTATTATTGGGCTAAATGTAATCGTAAATAAGTTCAAGTTATAAAAAAAAATTCTTTCTCACCTGAATCTTCAAATGAATGTTTTTTGTGGGTCTTGTGGGATGGCATAGCGTTTTACTATCGGTTGTTTTCGTTCATAAAGTTTTCATAAAGCTGTACCATTCTTTTTTAACCTTTCGGCGATAAAACTAAGGCATATGGAGACTTGCCCTTGACGACTGATGACTGTTGAATAATTTTAGAATATAATATAATATTTTGCCCAAAAAAGGGACAGTATACTCCGTATCCAGCATATTGCATATCCTATCTATATTGCATGACCCTCGCCCAGTCCTTCCCCTAGCTGGCTCGTACGCAGTACGCCTATGCACGGTTATAGATTCATTCATGTAAATATTGACTGCTAGGGCAGTAACCAAAAAAAGTATATGTACATTTCCATGCATGTTCTTCACAGGCATTATCATTAAAAAACGTCTCTCATGCATTTTCGGTTACTGGTTAGCATGCATATCATGCAAATTGTTGGTGAAAAATATGAAAAACGTTATTTAGCATGTGGAGTTTAAGCAACGAATACGTGATGATCTACTTTCTAAATCATAAGAATAATAACGCACAAAAGGGAACAACTGATCAACAATTCAGGGCACGACAACGCACAAAACTAAATTCAAAACGAGTTCTAAAAATATCAGTAATGTTCAATACCGACTAAGCTTTTTTCAAATATGGTATGACAACTGCATGCCTTAAAAAGACAAAACACTTCTCGACGTTTCGACATGAGGGTCTTCGTCAGGAGAGTTAGTATGGAAAAAAAGAGATTCAGGAGAGTTCGTATGAAAAAAAAGGAGATTTTTTTTCAAATGATATGTATATTTCCCGAGGCCCAAGATTTAGAAGTGATAACACTACTCCTCGCGAAATTAAATCAGACCATAGTAATAAAACCAAGACGAGTTAGCGCGTTTTCCGGCAAACAAAGTTATCAATTATGATGGATGTTTTCAACACTTTTTTACCTCAAAAATCTCCGAGTTTGTTCCACATTACCACACTCAACGTTTTGATAATTCCATGAACAGCCGATGCTTCTGCACTAGAGATATTGGATCAGTATATAGACTAGCTGCACTGTGAATATAGAGAATGGCAAGTACGTTTAGGGCTGTTTTCCACTGTCGCGTGTTTTGTACGTACGTACCTAATTCAGTTTATTTGTGGGTATTAGGATAGTGATACTAGAGATTACCTAACAATTCTTTCATAGTGCCAGAAAATAAAACCAGAATTGGTAGTCTATACGTACCTACGTTTCGCGTGTACGAAAATTTTCGCTTGATTTTCTTTACAATCCAGGTAATCTGAAATGGCGGAAAACGACTTGGACTAATTGTCAAATAAAAAAACATTTCTCGGTTGAAACTACTTTTTGAATTATACTTTATTTCGGTTTCTAGATTTATGCTAGAGCTATAGTTCTTATATATAGCTGAAAATAATCGCCAAATTTCGCCTGGTTTCATAGAGCATAACATGAGATATAATTGATTAAATATTGCGGAATGGATTTCTATCTCGACAAATTTTCTGAGCGCTATCCAAGATGAGATGGAGGGACACGTCTTGAAGTTTTTGTTATGATGGGGCGAATATCTAGACTGTGTCTGTGACACTACAGACAGTACATACAGGGATCGCGATCGAGAAAACGGTGATAACAGCCCGTGTCTATCATTGTGAGTGGTTTGGAGCCATTTGGTAATTCTATATTGGCTTGAAAAATATATAATATACTTTCAAAAACTGCAAACATACAAGCTCGCACAAAACAATATCCCTGACATGTTTAGATGTAATGTTCTGAGTGCTCTCCCTAGCAACTTTAATTAATTGCAACAAAACCAAGTACCGCGTTTTCTATAAGGCTTTCAGTCTAAATCCACGATACGGAGTCTATATTCTGATGACATTAGAAGTAGAATAAGTGGGTTAACACGACATTCATTTAGAATAGTTGGAAGAACTTTTTTCTTTTTGTTACAGAAAGAGCACTATACGCTAATCAGATAATAATGTGGCAAGTGGCAACTTCCGGCAACACCATAATTATGCAATTATGCAACAATAGTTCACTTACGATTTCTGAAATGTGCAAAGAATAGAATGAGACATTTGATAGCGAAATTTAACAAATATTCTGTGCTTTCTAACTATTCAAATATTACTCGAAATTTGAACGTTTCTAGAACACCAGGTCGTTTTGTGACTGACAGAAGAGGAATGACAGCCAAAAGCACATCGACCAAACTCCTCGTGGGTATTGTTTCTCAATATTTTATCGATCAAGCAGGCATGGATATATTAGCTAAAGGTTGTCCATCTGCGTGTTTTGTTGCGATAAAGTACACAGGTAGGTAATGGAATAAATGGACCTTGTTGCTTCTCTAATATTTCGGTACTACTTTTCCTGACGAAAAATGACATATTTCATTAATTTTACTTGATAATGTACTATTATAGTCTTCGTACGTCTCTGTCATTGTTCAGGAATGTGGGTGGAATTGCTAGTCTCCAATTACACCAGCCCACCTTTCTAGACCCCACCTTCTCGTGCAATGCCAATTAGTAGATCAGATTAATTGGAAAATTGTTCGGTGGTGACTTGAGAGTGGACAAGGTTGAAAAATAAACCCAAATTAGTGGCAATTACTGTGTAATAACAGTAATATAATAAAGTTTAAATAATCAATATCAGCTTGAAGGAACATGTGTGTATAGTTTATTTAATTATTATATATAATATGCAGAACTCTCGTCAGTGAAATTGTTTTAAAAATCAGTAAAAGTTAATTTGAATTAAAATTTAGGAAAGCTCTGCATAAAATAAATACATCTGCTGTTCTAATGACCAATGTTATAGATTTGCCATGCAAAATTACAAAAATATTAGTAATAAATAAGTTGTTTTTTGCACAAAGGTAACTTATCATAATAATGTGCCTGTGCAATTTACAAACCTATCAGACTTTCAGAATGGGGAATAACAGTCTGCCTTCGGACTACACATGGCAAAGAGTATGTATATAAGCAGGGGTGCCGGAAGCAGTTCAGGGCAGCGGGGGCAGAGTTTTACAAAAGGGCACATTCATTTTACCTTGGCAACCACACAAATAGGAAACTTAAATTTACAAGTACATGCAAACTTGCAAATTAATCCACAGGAGAATGCATATTTAGAATGATATTACCAGTTCATTTTAATGCAAAGAGTAGGCATGAGGCATCGTTAATGTATGATATGTATCATGTATGATAGCCTTTGATAGGTAACCTAGTTTAATAGATGTCCACTTTATATAGATGTTTCACTTGAACTTTTGAAAGATTTGGACATTCTGATTGCTGATCCAGCATGTGTATGTAAATATATACATCAGCTACCAAAGTTAAGGTGGATACAATCAACGTTCTCAGGTGTTAGTCCTATAGTCGATGTGTTGCAACAAGATAAGCCTCCCCCAAAGTTTGTCGTCACAAGACATGCAGGTGTTTTCGGACCCCTAATGGCTGAGTATGTGGTTGGTCATATTATTGCACTGGAGAGGAAATTTTCACTTTCTAGAAATTATCAACAGGATAAAATATGGTAAGGCAAAAGCATGCAGGCAGAAGCGCGACAGCTTCGCGAATATCTATGTTCATTCATACCCATAGACTTGGGTGAAAATTGCAGCTAATCAGATATACGTATTTTACTCCATGAATCGACGTGTGAACAGGGCGTCAAAAAAAAAACAAGACAAAATTTGGGAATATTTGGAAATAGCTGAAATCAGCTTATAATATCAGCACCATCGGTCGTACTGGTGTTCCGCACTTATACCTTTTAATACCTATTCAATATATTGGATTCAGTGTTTCCGAATACCCATAAAATCATAGTGCAAGCAGCAAAATTATTGCAAAAGAGTTACTTACGTCAATTCTCCTAATATTTCAGTTATCTTTGTCCTACAATCCGCTTCCCTGCAGAGGACAACTACAACGTGCCTATACTAATAGGCACGCGAGTTACACGAGATAGTGAATTGGCTACATGAACAAATGTTAAAAATACCTCTATTTCTATGAAAAAATCTTTTGGTCTTACAGGGGTTGGTGGAAGAAATTTATTTATCGTCCACTTTCCGAACTAACGATTGGAATACTTGGTTTTGGTGACATTGGTAAGGAAATTGCGAAGTACTGCAAGTCAATGAAGATGACTGTTAACATTGTTCATCGCACTGTTCCTTCTACCAAAAGTTCTTTCGTGGATGAAAGCTTCTCGACTGAAGAATTGCCTAAGTTTTTGCAGCAATGTGATTACATTTGCAATGTACTGCCCAGTACACCGAGTACAAGAGGTCTTCTTTCTGGCAATATTTTGGAAAATTGTAAAGAGAGAAAGACGGTACTTATAAACATTGGTCGTGGGGATGTGATAAGCTGTGATAGTATTTTGAATGCATTAAATAATCAATGGATCGGTGGTGCCATTTTGGATGTCTTTAAGGAAGAGCCTCTTCCAAATGATAGCGAATTATGGACTCATCCCCAAGTCACTATTACTCCTCATATTGCTGGATTGTCTACTGATAACCAGGTAAAAACAAGTGTTAACCGTAATCATAAAATCCCCATCCAGTTGCCCTTTTTATTATTATTAATTTATACATTAGTATTTACGTTTCATTAGCGTTCATTTTTGGGTATTCAAAACTTTTATTTACCACGGCGTTTTTGACCACATGGCCAATATTTTTGCAATTGCTATATTATTGAATGCATTTTATCCCATGCAGTGTCAATGCAATAATATAATAATATAATAATGTTTATCATTGTTTATCAATTCAGCAATTGACGAGCTTTACCTGATTTATCTTTTGGAATTTATCCTTACTGATTTACTCATTCTTCATAGCATTTAGTATAGGTGTGTAAGTTTGTGCAGTATAGAGTTCTGTTGTTGTAGACGTCTGATCATATTTTGTACAGAAAAAAAATTGACCAGTTTTTGAATAGTTTCAGGCTTTGCAATTGTGGGGTGTAATTAGAAACTAGTAATCAAAGACAAAGCAGTTTTCTATGTAAATTTTTCGGTGATAGAATTTCGTTCGCACATTCTGTTTTTAGTTGTTTTTTCTAATATTGAATTGCACTAAGTTATGTTCGTAGGATATTAAGGGTTTCGATGTTAAAGACCAACATCTCAGACTCAGGGAAACTATATACGCCCTGACTGAAAATTTATCAAATTTATATTTATCAATTCAACCACACGAACTGAGCTTCAACTTTGTATTTGTTTACCTTTTGTAGGTGATTGATTCTTTTATGGAGAATTTTGAGCTTTTTAAAGAGGAAAAACCGATGAAATATGTCGTGGATTGGAGCAAAGGATACTAATTTTCAGGCGTGTCATGATCGCAGTTCTCACAATGGATTAGTTTTTAATTTAATTAGTTTTTTCTTCTGTATATATTCTAGTACCGATTGACAATAAATATCCCAACTAGAAGACATTGAAATTGGGTTCTTACCCTAAAAGCCTGATAAAAGTTCCAAAAGACCCCTAACCCAATGCACTTCTTATGTATGCATACACTTGTTCAAATAAGGAAATGTTGTATTACATTTTGCCCAAGCCAAGGCCAAGATTTTGAAGTCATTTCACTCCTTTTGGACAAGATTAGTATTTAAATCTAGTTATCTATCTAGATCATTGCCATTGGATGATTTTAACATTTTCTTAGTCCCGCTCAAACTATTTTGTTCTATATTAATTTACCACGCTCAATGTTAAATTGGACCACATGCAGTTTGCGACCTGTAATTTTAACAATCGGTAAAGTTGTTTCTAGGAATTCAAAAAATAGATTGTAAGAACATTGCTTCAAGGCCCGTTACGCTTTCTCTTATTCAACTCGACGCAGTGTTCTGAATTATCCAAACAGTAAATGCAGTAAGTGAAATCGTGAATTCAAAAATTAGCGAGAGCCGGGAATACTTAAATCTGAGAGGCGCCTGAGGCGGTTCCGTGATTCTTTTGCGGAATAGCGTGATTAAGTTATCCAGGCTGCTCCAAAAATGGCTAGATCCCAGAGAAAAAATCTCGCAAGATTTGCGGAGCAAAATAGCTCGTACTTTTACGACTGGTTTCATGGGTCCACTTGTCTACGGTTCACCGGAAAACCAACCCGCAAGCTCTTCCGGCCTGCGACAAAGTCCGCGTCCGAAAGGCAAAGAATATGAGGCATTTATTAGCAAAATTTAAAAAATATTTTGTGCTTTCTAACTATTCAAATGTTACTAAAAAATTGAACATATTGATGTCTAAAACACCAGGCCGTTCTGTGATTTCCAGAAGAGGAATGACAGGCAACAGTACATTCACTAAGCCCCTCGTGGGTATCGTTTCCCAACATTTTATTGATCAAGCAGGCGTGGATATATTAGCTAAATGTTGCCCATCTGCGACTTTTGTTTTGATAGAATACACAGGTGAGTAATGAACCTAATTTAATTTCTCGTATTCTCCGTAGCTTATATGTTTATATTTTGCAACACGCGAATGGTGATATATGATATATCTAAGGACTATAAAGGAGATCTGACTCAAATGGTTAACAAAAAAGTAGCCTGGTACGAGGATCCTAAAATAATATTATTAATACTAAATAGGCTAGATTATGCAAACTAAAACATTTCTTGACTAGTGTGACTAGTGCATAAAATACAGCCAGTTTTGAATTGCTATTCCCCTGCAATAGCTGCCAATCTTTTCAGACCCTTAATTGGTGCAGGGCAAATTGAAAAGTTGGTTGTGTTTGGACAAGATTAGCAAGCTGTGAGTTGTTGCACTGTCTATGTATGATTGATGTCAGGAACTAAATTTGTTTGCGCAATGAGAAGTCATTCAAACAAACAGATGAGATAAGACACCAGGGGCTTTGTCTGTTTGCCATGAGACTGCACATTGCAGGCAATAGAAATAACATATTTTGGAATTATGCAAGACATGACCTATTAAGTAACAAATATGTATGTATTTGATATAATAGACCTCGAATATGATATATATAACAAGAATCATAATTTTGTCAGTTGTTGACATTTTAATGGTTGATTTATGGCTGGACATCATGTCCAAGACATTTTGCAGGCCAGTGAGAGACACATATATATCTGCTTGTAAAAAAAGATTTGTATGAGTTGCACTTTATAAAATGTTGTGAGTTGCTACGTAGGCTTGAGTGGGAGCAGCTGTCGCTAATGAAGAAGATTAAAGAATCATTATATATCATGAGGCATGTGCCAATACCAAGGTTTAAAATTTCAGCTAGATTTTTGCTGTTGCTTATTTCATGTAGCACACTGGAAGGATTTGTCAGTCATTTTTTTCTTTACCAAATTAAGCCTAATTTTTACTGTATTAAGGCAACAAGAACTGAGAAGCCCAGTGAGTAAAATACTGGTAGTTAGTTATGCAACACCACTCACCCTCACGGCCTCACCCCCTCCTCAATTTAAGACTGTGTTCTTAAAGCCATATTGAGAGGTGCCCCAGAAAGCCGGATCGATCCGATCCCCCAATGATAACACGTTTATTTATCCCTCTGTAAGGCTCTGTTCATTTATATAAATGCCCACTTTTTTATAGGTGTTTCACTCAAACAACTGAAAGACTTAGATATTTTGATTGCTGATCCAGCACATGTATGTAAATATATATTTAATCTACCAAAGTTAAGATGGATGCAGTCAACGTTTGCAGGTGTTAATCCCATAGTCGATCAATTGCAACAAGATACGCCTCCCCCAACGTTTGTCCTCACAAGACTTGGAGGTGTTTTTGGACCTCCAATGGCTGAATATGTGATTGGTCATATTATTGCACGGGAGAGGAAATTTTCACTTTCTAGAAAATATCAACAGGATAAGACATGGTAAGGCAAATACAGGCAACAGCGCGCGACAGCTTATTAAATATCCATGCTCATGCCATTGACTTGGAGGCAAATTGAAGCTGATTTGAAAAATTGAGTATTTTACCCCTTCAATCGATCGGTTATTAAACTGTGGATTCAGGTACACCGTACACAGTTAAATGTGAATTCAGGTACACCGTTAATTGTGAATAGTTGTCGCGTTAATGTTAACGGTTGCACGATGACGTTTCTAGGCAGACGTTGACACGTTTCTAGGCCGTGGCTGCTAATCGTATGAAGCCGGGAGAGTTAACACAGGGTGGAAAAAATCCCGTCCCGGTTAACGAACCCATAGATGAGACAAGTGAGAGAAGAATAGGCAACCTTTGAATTCATCTTTCTAATTAAGTCCCACCCGACCACGTTGGCCAGCTTTTTTATAGATTTTTTGCAACTACGTTGAAATGCTTTATTTGATATCTCCATTGATTTCAGACTTCATTGATCACTAACTACAGAGATGTTTGAACTGTCAAAGTGGCAGAAAACCAACATACATATAACACACCGATGTGCTGGTACTCACCAATACCACATCATATTTCTTGTTTTAAAATTTCTTGATAACGGGGACTAAAGGCGGGGAATGTCACACTCCTATTATTGATAATAATCGGATAACAAGTTAATTTGCCAAATTGTCAACACATATAATGTCATACTGTATATATGTTATTTACCGGTTTGGTCGGTCCGTATAGGGAAATATTTCCCGATGTCTCAAAAACTGGGACGTTATTGTGACCAAGGGAAATATTTTCCTATACAGACCGACCAAACCGGTAAATAATCTATTTATTTCTTTTTTCATTACTTCCCTGCTGAGAATCGAATTGAGTAGAAAATAATGGCAGCCAAATACGTCTAACCACGTGTGATAAAAATATTGTGAATTACAGGGGTTCATGGAAGAAATTTATTCATCGTCCACTTTCCGAGCTAACGATTGGAATACTTGGTTTTGGTGATATTGGTAAGGAAATTGCTAAGTACTGCAAGTCAATGAAGATGACGGTTAACATTGTTCATCGCACTGTTCCTGCTACGAAAAGTTCTTTCGTGGATGAAAGCTTCTCAATTGAAGAATTACCTAAGTTTTTACAACAATGTGATTACATATGCAATGTACTGCCCAGTACACCGAGTACAAGAGGTCTTCTTTCTGGCAATATTTTGGAAAATTGTAAAGAGAAAAAGACGGTACTTATAAACATTGGTCGTGGGGATGTGATAAGCTGTGATAGTATTTTGAATGCATTAAATAATCAATGGATTGGTGGTGCCATTTTGGATGTGTTTAAGGAAGAGCCTCTTCCAAACGATAGCGAATTATGGACTCATCCCCAGGTCACTATTACTCCTCATATTGCTGGATTGACTAGAAAAAATCAGGTAAATATTGGTAAACAAGTGTTAAACATACCTGATTACCCGGCTTTTGTATAATTTGTGTACCTCTTCATGATTTACCTATTGTATTATATATAGGTGATTGATTCTTTCAAAGAGAATTTTGAGCTTTTCAAAGAGGGAAAACCGATGAAATATGTCGTGGATTGGAGCAAAGGATACTAAGGCTAGTTCAAAAATTGTACAATTCCTAATTCATTGAGAATAATAATATATTTTAGTCAATGACAATGCTAAATTCATGCGTGAAAGGAAATCAAGGTCATGCTTGATGTGAAGGCGGGGGTATGTGCATGTGGAGGTATAATGATGATCAACGGCTCGGGCCATAACTATACATACTGAATCTGCCCCAGAAGTATACGTTTTCATGTCTGTTCGCATACTCGCCATATCGAAAAGAGGGCTTAATCATCAGTTACTAATCATTATAAAAAAAATGGCTGATTACAAGTTCAGACGTTTAAATAACGTGTTAACAAGTTCATTCTACCACCATTTAATGGGTATCTAAACAATCAGGAGCTCTTTGAGCACCACTGATGTAAACTGGGTAACGGCCTGAACTGGATATTAGGTAGTTTACGATCTACGACGCGGATGGCTCGACGTCGCGCATGCCAAATGCCGTTTCAATTATGCTGAAAAACCTCTGAGGTCGCTGATATTGCAGATCCATATAGCTATCACGTTGCAGCTGCTTTCATGTCGTCGAGAAGCCGTGAAAATGGTCCTTTTGAAGCCATGCAGCGTAAGAGTGGCAACGCTGTCATGGGACCACAAGTTATACCTATTGTCTCGCGTGTGGTGTTTCTTTGTTTTGCAAAGCGCGTCGTCTAGCTGGCCGCGTCGTGAATCGTAAACTCCCTATTGTATTCTGCATTAAGCATCTTGCAAATTGTACATATTAGCATCTTGCGGTGTTGCGGTTTGGCTGTTAATTTTTGTGGTGTCATAATTTTGCATGAAATGGTCTGTGTTAAGAGAGCAAATGAACCTTCTCAGTTGAAATATATATATATATATACGTATAAAACATGCGTGGCTGGTGAATCCGAGGATATCCTACGGTAGGATATCTGCTTCTTGAAATATATAAACGAATAATTGCAAGCTTTCCCGATAAAAGCATGCAACAACATAAGTACAAACAGTATAGTTGACGTTAAATTCAAAATGAATTCTAAAAATTCCAGCTTGTACTGTATACTTGTAGAAATGTACAATGTTTTCTATCTTTGTGGAAGCTTATTTTAACTAGTTTTAAAATTTTAAAATAACTAAGAAATTATATGTTTTGCTCAAAATAGTTGCATGACACCCCTGAGTAAAAAAGACCCTGGGAACGAGGTTGCCCTGTTGAAAGAATTATTTATTTAATGATTGCCTTGAACATCTCTCAACTTCTCTATTATTAAGTGGCTTGTACGTTTATCAGCTAGATCTCTTGATAGGGCATGCCGTGCTGTTACTTTTAGGGTAGGAACCCTAGTTGTAGGTTTTTCATGCAGGATTTTTCAATGTATTTGAAAAACATATATTGCCCTTGGGACGTATAAGAGATTTTTTGAGTGAGAAATTAACGACTATTTGTACATAATTGCATATATGTACTTGGTCTTCTTGTTTAACTGTGTATAAAATGGCTAAAGTTACTGTCTGTTAATCAGAACATTAATACACTGAAACATTGTATTTAGTGTATACTGCTTCTTCTTTTAAGTCTTCATGCAGCAAATATTTTAAAAATGAACTAGTTTCTAGTGGCTAGTTCAGTTCTTAGTAACTATAAAACAAGATTGCAAGACTGAAAAACATACAACAGAGGGAGGAACACTAGCAACTGTAGCGGTGACCAGTTTGTGACCAATAAATTTTAGTCACCAGTCTAAGGAGTTTTTGGGTTGTTTTTGGGATTTCAAAATTTGATTGTGAGAACACTGCTCCTAAAAGTCCGTTACGCTTCTCATATAATTCTTCATATTTCTCATAACTCAATTTTCTTAGCTAATATCACTGACCTATAGTATATCTAATAGGTCTGTGGCTAATATAAATGATACACATAGTACATTTAGTCCAGTATCCAGTAATAAAGGTAGGCTTGTTGCAGGACATGTCATAAACTCTTACGAGCTTTTATGCATGGCATCTAGAAAATATTCAGTGCATGATATAAACGCATGATTACACGGGTGTCGTTGGTATGTTTTTGTCTTGCAACATAGCACAATATGGCTGATCTGGGCGCTCTTTTCCTAAGCGACTTCCGCCACAAAACCCAGTACAGAGTTTTCTGAGCATCTCTTTCAACTCCACGATGCAAAGTCTATACTCCGATGCCATTAGAAGTAGAATAAGCGGGTTAACACCACTCCCGTAGACCATCATACATTGGAAAAAAGTATACAAGGTTTTTTGGTGTTCGAACTGCTCAAATTTGTAAAAGAAATGCGCAAGTACGTAGAGAACAACGGGCAGATTACAAATAGCAAACGCAACGAGGAGGACGATCAGAACTTTGACCAGCCGTTTGCTGCGCAAGATTAATGTAACCGTGTGTTTGTTCCCAGCCTCGTCGTAGCCATGTAACATGTTTTGGCTGTGTTTTTTGTAGACATTTTGTAGTGTGATGCCTATAGCTACATAACAAAATGTGACGATAAGAAATGGGATGAGAATAATAGCGATACCAAAGCCGACGTGAACCTTCATATGGAGAACCGATGGATATTTTAGCATGCAAATTACACCGTCCTGCGTGTTTACAAGTCGTGTCAGAAGTAACAATGGCAAGCCGTTCACGAGATACGACGCGATCCAAATGAATACCAAGACCACTTTTGCGATGCTCTTGTTTCCCTGATGCTGTAGCGGTCGTGTTATAAGCCAGTATCGTTCTAAACTCAACGTCGTGATCGTTACCAAGGAGACGATAAGAAAAACATCCCGCAAGGGTAAAAGCGCCTTGCACATGAAATCACCAAGGCCCCATGGATGCAACAACGGAGTGAGGTCTGTCACCGAATAGACGATCAGCACGCAAAGGTCGGCCGAAGCTAAGTTGATAATGTAATACCTGGAGCCCGTCGTGACGCCTTTTTTTCTGGTCATCGGCAATCTAAGTCCCGAAATAATGATCACGACGTTTCCGACCAGGCCAACGGCGACCATGATAAAGGCGAACACAAGAAATACTAGCTCGATATCGATCATACCATTCTCGATCTGTTGTTTAACACTCGTATTCATAGTACTCTCCCACGCAGGCGTTGAAATTCCGTCCAAATCATTCATTTTAGCATGGCTTTCTGCGGATAAAAAAATAAATACTGTGCATGCAGCGATCTATCAATCAAATATAACAAAAAATGTATTGCCAAAGAATTTTTCTAAACATCATTCATGCAGATAAAATAATTTTAAAGCATTCAGTAATTCGTAAACCTTGCTTTTTTTTGCACGCAGTACGCCTTTATGTTTTAATTACCAGCTAATCAAAAATTCTGAAACATTTCCGCGTGAAAATTGTCGCTTCCTCCATGAAGGCATCTCATTGAATAAGGGCATGAATTTAAGCCACTTACAGTCCGTATTTCCCTATAGTCCTTTATGTATATATATATATAAATATACCACTGTTATATAAGCTGTATATATACGTTTGTAGACTCTACGCGCTTGTTCCAAAACAATTATCATTATACCACTTACTGTACAAATGCAGTTGGCTAAAAAGTCTTGCCTACGAAAGAAATCGACTCTTCTGTTAGCGCTGCAAGATAAAACCGTTTATTAACAAGATATGCAGGTTATGATACTTCCAACCAACGATTTGATCATTCAAGGTGAAGATCACGAATCAACAATGCCAATGGATCTCAAACCAAATGCAAAGATTTTCGCTAGCGACTGGACGACAAGGCACCTATAAGGATAAACGGAATGTCAATTTTTTTTGTATAGACATTCCGTTAATTCCAACTCAATATAATTGAATTCTTTAGTGGATGAAACTGGCATGCGTTTTTTATTAGGCTAACGTCTTAATTCCTGCGTTGACGTCGATAGTGTGGGATAATAAGAAATAATGTTATTTTATAGACAGACATATGTACTTTACAACCACAGATCAGGAGTATATCGCGTTAGCTCATTTGTGACCAAAAATAACAATTAACACGAAACGTATGTTGTTTACGTAAATGCTTCCCATCAATTTCAGCTATAATCCGCAAGGGAAATACGCTCAAGTTTACGATGTTGTAAATTTTTACCTAACTGCTGCCTGAAAATATGTCGCATTATTAAAAGGCCTGCTCGCATGAAATGTCGAATCCTGCGCATATGTATAGCGCTAATCTAATGGACTTGGAGCAAAAAATGGCCCTCAGTTAAATGTCGTTGCAAAACGCCACGCTGGCAACCGGCTTGAAGCAGCACAATCGTTATGACTAAACCGCATCAAGTATATATATACAAAATATATGCATGCGCGCCAACTCTTTGTACAAAGTCTCTAATGAATTTGTGTACATTTATATACAATATCTACACCTGCGGCAGCTTATAAAACTATATTGTTGTGCCGAGTTGAAAGTTGAATTATGCAGCACGTATACTGACACAAAATGCTATAGATCTACAGTATTTTAACTTTATACTACTCGTCACTAAAAAGAGACAACAGTTAAAACTAAACGAATGTTACATGTGAAATTAAACACTCGACTCCTAATCTATGTACTAATAATACATTCGCGCATATATTGTTTACCAAATATACTTACAACCCATGAAAATTTTTATTACATTGCAAAATGGTCGATTGATCATGCTAATTAGAAAACGTCAAAATACCGTTCTTAGAAGTTTGTTCAAATCATTTGTACAGTAATCATTTGCGTAGACTCTTGGCGTTCACCTCTTCGCGCCAGAGCAATAAACATTGTGTGTACCGTATATATTTTGCTATACAATGCCAATGGCGCCGCTCTCCAGCTGTTAAATCAATCTCAGGTTCACAGCAAGCGATGCTTAATAAAGAATGAGTGATCAGCAGCAACTCTAAAGGAAAGTTCGATGCGTTTTATTGTGGTGTCGGTAAGGGACATCACAAATTATAAACTAATCACAAAACATTTTGACGCCCTCAGCTGTCAGCACTTTATATGCAAAATTCGAATTGCTCTCTAATTCTGAGTATAATGAATAAAACGTATATAGCTAGCTATATATTTCGGGTGTCAGTCGAGAATCACAGAACAAGACCGAGATGGAACAAACTGTGGAAACTAAACCTCAAGTATACGCTATTCACATACTTCGGAGGGACGAGTTTTTAAGATTAGCACATTCTGCGATACCTTTGTATAAGGCTTTATTTTCCCATTGCACATATTATTTAGCGCCCATGCATCATGCATGCATGTACTGATATACGAAATATTTCCCTTGTTTTTTATTTTGACTTCCAACCACTCAATTAGTTTCCTTTATTAATTGCTCATAATTTATAAAAGCAGGCGAATGAATTTCAATAAAAAATCGCGCCCGTGGAATAAAAGAACTTGTGGGGTTTGTCGTTTAGTTCCGCGCTACCGAAGTGGTCTGACCCAAACAGATATATATTGCCGGACGAAAATTCTGATTTTTAGTTCAGGATGTGTCACCTCCTACTCTCTCATCAGTTACGCCCTTAAACGCGTATGGCCTGATTCACAGTACAGGGGGTCTCGAAGAAATGGGAACAACTATAATTTGGATAACGTACATTGGAATTAGCAACAATGCCAGCCAGGGAAGTACTAATTTCCTCGTTATTGAGACCCTTGAGATCAATTAGTGGTGAATTTTGCAAATCTCAAAAATATCTGATTTCGTTCATTTTTCTTGCGATAATGGACCTTGGAGTCCCGAATATATGCAATCCATCCCATTGTATTCTTCAAAGTGTTGTATCCAGTTGTATTTACAATATTCTATTGTATTAATTTCTGGTTAATTGCATAACAAGATCATGTATCTAAACATGAAGTACTGAATACCAAATGACTAATGTAGCTGAAGGAAAGCTGATATGAGTCAGCAAATGCAAGACCCTTATGGCACGCCACGCCTATATGCACCTATGTATGAGACTGAATTAAGCCAACGTTTATGTACGATTTCTGAGCAATAGACTATAACTTTTCTAGGTGACGTACTCCTTTTCAAAAAAGGGTGCATGCATGCGTTAAAGCGAGTGTACATCTTCGGAAAAATTTGTTGGCTAAAAAAATCTTGTCGAGCCATGCACTGTTTGTGTGGTCACTGTGAAAGGATGGTATGCAATGGCATTATGACAAGATGTCTGAACAAGAAAATAAATATATTCTCATTCCTCTTGTTGAAAACTAAATTAAAGCATTTTACACTGCTTTAAAACGTATACGTTTTGGATCAAGATGAAATGAAGTCTTTATATAATTATATTTGCATGATTATTTGTCAGTATATCAAAAGGTGTTTCATATTCGTGTCATATATCTGGTTCTAGGCCCGAGGGTTATAATGATTTTTGTTCTAGATGAAGATTAATAATGAGATCTTGTTAAGTTATAGGTTTCAAGTAATTACTGAGTTTATTATATATACATAGAAGTGAAACAAGCTTTAAAGACCTGTAGAATTACTTATTTCAACACCTGGAGAAGTAGTCAATTAGCCTAACCAAAATCGTAAAATGTTGTTCACTTGCCTATATAATAAACCAAGCCAAAAATGTTCTCCGTGTTTATCATACTTACCCCTGACGGGCATATTCAAACTTCTCAACTTCTTATAGGTTTTAATATGCCGGTCAAGCTAGGTAAGATGGCAAACACGGAGAACATTTTTGCCTAATATAAACACGGAGAATATTTTTGCCTAATTTTCGCCTAATATATATATATATATATATATATATATATATATATATATATATATATATATATATATATATATATATATATATATATATATATATGTGTGCATGTGTTTTACGAGTAGAGTGCTCGATATACCGAAGTATAGAGCTAATAAGACGAGAATAAAATTCAATAAACTTGGTTTACATATATATTATATATACAAGGAGGTCCATAAGGCATAACATATCGTTAAAAACTTAAAAGACATAGTTATGAGCTATGTGATCACCTATGCGATTTGATACCCAATGCATGAAGATTACAGTTATAATCCGGTTATTTTATATGCATTTCAATATTTGATCGTGTGTGCATTAACTAGATCAGCCGGCTAATCCTATTATATTCAATCATGCTTTCCGCACTAGATTTCCACAGGGTGACGAGCGTGATAATTGTTGTTATCATTCAAGAAGACAATAAATATATTAGATTACATGCATGTTTATAGTCAACTCCTTCGTGCATTTTAGATTTATCTCAAGCATCGCGGTATCATTTTTCGGTTAAACACTTAAAGGATCTCATGCTCCTAGCGGCGAATACGCCTTACTTATGTATTTCATGAGTTGTATTACCCATGCATGTATTCCATGCATGAATTCGCGATCTTTCATGAGTTTCATCTGCAGATAAATCGGCAGATACTTTAAACTGCTTCACAGTTAACTAGGGGAAGATGCTATGCCAATTGCGAAATACGTCTTTGTATACATTACATTTTTAAAACTTTATCCTTTCTATATAAATCCTTATATTGTACTATATGTGTGACGCACCTCGTGAAAATCAGCCATATATATATGCTGTCGTGTTTAAATAAAGGTTGCAAAAAATAATAAAGTAAGGCCGGCTGTTTTCCACTGTCGCGTTTTTCTTATACGCACGTACACGCATGCATGTATATAAAAGTCTATAAATCCTTATATATTTTATATTCAAAAAGGCTATATAGGTGAATGAATCGAAAGAACTTAGTTTCCGCAAATTTAAGTATGCATTTGTTGATCCATGTGTTAAATAATAAAAAAATGGATAAATAAATTTTTCGGGCGTAAAAAACGCGTAAGTGGAAAGCACCAATAAATCAATTCTTCGTCCACACCCTGTTTACAATGCATGTAAGATAATATATCAAGCATAACTGCCAATCAAACATTCAAACATGTTTAATTTAGATGGCTTGTAATATTGTTACTTGCGTAAGTGTATGTTTCGCCGGTGAAAACTTAGTCTGACAATGATGAATGCATTCATTTGCATTGGCGACAAATGTAAATCAATTGTACATGCCGATGCTTGTCACTCTTTTTGGACGCAGCATGCACGCGATATTTCCTAGGTTATATGCTTTGGTAGTTTTGGTTGAACCAATATACATGCATATATAAGTATATATCGCATATCAGGTTTCTACATTTCCATATCATGATGAATATATATCTATATACAGGCTACTTTATTCTAAAGGTTATACGCGTTACTTCTTTTAATTTGTCTCGTATATTCAAGCGGTATGAATCTATATAGCTATAAGAACTTGAAGAATGAAGCTCACTCGCGAATGAAGCTCATTTCTTGATTGTCCATATGCGCATGCATGTTTATTTGAAAAACGGCGCCATTTGTAGTTTATAACTGCATGTACGATTGCATATATAATTATATTTTGCTAGCAAGATGCATGCAATGTTGTTTTTTAGGCTTTTATAATAAACGTTGATAATATATGATATAATTACATACAATAATGAGGCTTGACCTCATATCGCAGCTAGTTAATATCGAGGTTAATATTAACTGTGGTTTCGCCCGAAAACTGGGTAGTGATTTATTGCATGGCTAGCTCCTTCTCTTTCTAAGACGTCATATTTGAAAAGGTCATAGTCTTTGTATTTTTTGGAGTATATATAATGATTGTATAACATGCATGACCTATACGTATATAGGCGCGGTATAGCATCTTACAATCTGA